GAATTATTTGTATTTTAGTTACTTTTTATTTGTAATTATGTGTATATGGGTTCATGGTGTGTGTGTGTGTGTGTGTGTGTGTGTGTGTGTGTGTGTGTGTGTGTGTAGGGCACATCTGCCACAGTGTGCATCAGAGGTATTTGAATTTGTGAGAGATGTCTTGCTAGATCTGTATTTTAATTTTTATAGACTTACCCTTCAAAGAGACTAAAATTATCCACACTCTACAATAAATATTATTAGCACTTAAGTTTTTATATACCTTTACATTTGATTTCGGGAACTAGGTTTTAGCTTTCTTAAAAGGTAGGGGTTGCCACATCACTTGTAATCTTTAGTATGTTGAACATAAGGAGGTACTTAATAAATGGTTTGGAAGGAATGAATCAGTGAAGATAAAAAGCCCAAGTATCTGCCTTTGAGACCATGTGCACTGTCCCTTATTCTTTTAGCAGTCTTTACAGTTCCAGATTCACAGAGGTGGTGCTGCAATGTGAGGTTGAGGCTAACTTCTAAGTCTGTGGTATTTTTCCCTACTTCGTCATGCTTCACATTGTGTAGTATCTCTTCCCCACTGCCCACTACTATTTAAGATTAAACTTAGAACCTTGTGTCATGACAGTCCTGAACTATAATGTCAGGCCTCCTTTTCATTTTCAGGTAATGTAGCATTTTTCAGATTTAAATAAAAATCTTTCATCTAGAAAATTCTATCTGAAAGAAGCACATTTAAGTTATTGTAGACTGTTTTTATTTTTCTGTAACTCATATACAAATTTACTTGCATTTTTTTCTGTGCTTATATATATTTTATAAAGATAGTTTAGAAACTGTGTAGTAAGCATTGTTTTTTGGATCTTTGAGGAATATTCAGGACATTTGTATGTCTGAAGTTTTAGGACTTAGTAGTCAATGCTGGCCTCAAGTAAAGAAAGAGCAGTCCGAGTTTTGTTTTCTGCGGTCATGGTAACTGCTACCTCTGTGCATTCTTTTTACAAATAAAGAAAAAAAGATCCACTGCTTTGAGCTTTCTAGGCATACCCCCAAAGGTGGTTCTATAAAGGAAGTTGGAAAAGACTGTTCACACCTACAGACTTTATGATCTCACTGTGGGACCTTTATCTCTAATAATATTATTTCTGGTTTCTTATTTTCTGAGTATTTTGTGCTATTATAGTATTTATATCGTCGTTGTGACTCTTTATCAACCTGAGGAATGGTATCACTTTCAAGTAAGTCTTTTTTACTCCTCTCGATGTCTTCTATACATAGTAAGTTTTCAATAAATGTTTGTTAGTTGAGTTTATTTTCTTAGTCTAAGATTTTTCTTACTCATGGATTTTAATTACTCTGACGGATTGCTAAATAGTTGTGGGTAGATTGCATAATCTCTCTGAAATATTTTTGTCATGAAACTAGTAACACCTACCCTCAAAGGGTTAGGTTATAATTAGCTAGTGAAGTGCTTTGAAGATGAAAAAGCGAAGGTTGAGCATTATGATCAACCTATTAAAGGTAAATTGTTAGTATCGGGTTTGTAGATAAAAAGCTTTCCCAAGCCCTGAAGTTAATTAAATGGTGTTAAAGTAATTATTTTGTACCTATTTACATCTGGTTATTTGTATTACCTAAATCCTTAGATTCTTTTGGAAGAAGGGAGCATTTTGTAATCCTGTTTATGCTGAGGTTTGGTCTTTTGAGGCACTATTTCACCAAAGGCCTGGCTTCCTGGAACTCATTATGTAGACCAGGTTGGCCTCAACTCACAGAGATCTTCCTGCTCCTGCTTCTCCAGTGATGAGGTCAAAGCCGTTTGCTATCATTACTGGCTCCTAGGTATTTTTTCCTTTCTTTTGGTAATTTATTAGCTATATAAGGGACATATCTCTGAACCTCAGTATTTACCCTGCTAAAGGATGGAGTTAGAGACAGGGAAGCCAACCTGGTCTACAGAGTGAGTTCCAGGACAGCTACACAAAGGAAAAAGTTTATCTCAAACTGCTGTCCAAATACCACCTGCACCAGAACTTACCTGTATTAGTCATCATATAATATAACCTGCTGAACTAGAATCTCTGCAGGTGGAGTGAGTCTAACAAGGGCCTCTAAATGATGCTTAGTATGCAAAAGTTTAAGGCCTTGAGGTAAATAACACAGTTCAAGTATCAACTGAGGCACATCATCCTACCTGATACACTATACTTGTGTGTTCACTTTTTACCATGAGAGGGTTTCAACATGGACATAACAAGAGCCCAGGGAACTGTGCAATTAAACAAAAAAAAACCATATTCTCCCTCCTCTTCTCTCCCTCTCTCTCTCTCCCTCACCCCCTCTCCCTGCCTCCCTCCCTCCACCCCTCGACAAGGTCTCACTTTGTAGCCAGACTAGCCTTGAGTTGGTAATTTTCTTGCTGCTGGGATTTCAGGCATGTGTTACCATGCCTGGTTTCTGTGTTTAGTCTGTAATTGTTTTACTTTTTGTGTAGTCAGTATTAGTACTTATGGCCTTAAAAATAGTTCACACAAGGCAATAGATGGAGACCACTACAGAAAACCATAACCAGTTTAAAGCATGCACAGTGTGGCTCCCAGCCCCAATGGGTATATCTAGAAAACACCCCTGCACCTAAGGCACAGGTACACTGTGGAATAGAGAGAGGACAGATTGCTGTGACATTGTGTCTTCTAGTAATGTCAGAAGCTATACCCGTAAATCTCACCAAATGACTGCCCAAACATGAGCTGAATTAGGATGACACCACTGGACATATGAAACTGGACTGGGAAAAACCCAAGAAGCCTCAGTCCTTTACAAAGAAGTATACACAATGGAGGAACGCTGGAAGTAGGAGGGACCATCTTCCCTGGGGAAGAGCATACCAATTGATTGTCCAATGTCAAATGGTCAGCCCTGAAAACATATATACAAGTAACATTCTAAGGGCCGAGCAGATTTTATTTAAGAATACATATGTATATATATATATATATTATGCATGCAATAACAATAAAAAAGAGGCCATGAATGTGAAGGAAAGCAGGGAGGAATATATGGGACAGTTTGGAGGGAGAAGAGGGTAAGAAGAAATGTCTCAGTTTCCTAGGTTTTGAGATTACATGTAGAGCCACCATGCCTGGTTAAATAAATGTATTGGTAATAATGGAAGCCAGGTTTACGTCTGAGAAGGGTTTATAGTAGAAGAGGAAAAGACAAGGAGGGATTAAGATATTGGATATGAATTAGCAGTGTTGGGATAAGCCTGTGTCTTTTATTACTTATATATGGTTTTAGAAATAGATTTGCATGTGTTTATGCTTAATGTTTGTGGTTCTCTTTCCTGAGAGGGCTCACTAGCAGTTAAACTCCAGTAACAGCAAGTACACTTAGTACCTAGTTCTTGGTTTCTAAATACCATCTTTTACCAAAAGGAACCAGAGTTCCTTGCAGAAATGGTTATTTATAGAGCCAGAAAGGGAATGTACAAATGAGTCCTAAGAATTCTTCTGTAAAAAAGTATTCAGAATGATGGGGTGAATTAAAAGATATAGGAATCACTTTCTAAGGAGCCAATCTTACAGAATTTGAGCAACAAAGTAAGAGTAAAGTGCTATGTAGTATAGAGAATCCTTGAGTCTGTACTTGATAGAGATGAGTAAGTTAGTGGGGAAAGAGGACATTTTCTCTTAAAGCAGAATGCTAACTAAAAATGTAGAAAGAGTAATGCAGGTAGACAAGAGTCACCCTTATACCAGGTTGTGCTGGCACACACCTTTAATCCAGCACTTGGGGGTAGAGCCAGGCAGATCTCTGAGTCTGAGGCCAGACTGGTGTACAGAGCCGGTTCCAGGATAGCCAAGGCTACACAGAGAAACCCTGGTGGGGGTAGGGGAAGTCACTGTCACAGGGAAGTTTTGGGTGAAGATTTTCTTCACAGTCAGGATATTGGTAAGTTATAAGAGTATTATGTAGCAAAACAGTGGGGAAAACCTCAGATACCAGCTTGCCCTGGTGATTATGGTCAAGTGATGGGGGGGGGCTCAATCAGATTATGAGGAAAATAACCTAGACCCAGATTGAAGGGTTGGCTTAGCAAATGAAAGCTGTTAACCTGTCTGTCTTTCCCTTTTCCCTCTATCCTCATTCTCCTTCACTTTTATTTCTTGAGGTTTTTGGAGATAGGGTCTTGCAATAGTGTAGCTCTGGAACTCAATTGTGTAGTTCTGGCTGTTTTCATATTTGAGATAATTCTTTTGCTTCAGCCTCTGAGGTAGGATTACAGGTGTTGTTTTTTGAGTCAGGTTTCTCTGTGTAGTCCTGGCTGTCCTGTAACTTGTTCTGTATACCAGACTGGCCTCGTACTCATAGAGATTAGTCTGCCTCTGCCTCATGTTGGGATCAAAGGCTTGCACCACCACACCCTGTTAAGTAAACTCTATTCTGTATTCTTACAGTCAAGCTTGTTAAAGAGAATTCAAGACAGGCTCTGTTGCAGAACGAAGGAAAAGGGCATCTGACAGTGCAGTGTGCTCCTGGATAGGACTTGGAACTTGACAGGGATGTTGTGGAGAAACAGGGATTGGCTCTATGTTATGATTTCCTAAAAAGGAAGGTTCCATGGTAGTAAAAGTGTCCTTTCTTTGGGATTTGTATTCTGGAATATTTAAGCCAACATGGGGTATGTCACAGAGATAAATACACATAAATTTTCCTTTTTATTTTTCATTTTTTGAGACAGTATTACTAGGCTATTCTCTATTAATTAAAACAAAGATCATTAAGCACATTAATCTTTTTTTTTTGGTTTTTTGAGACAGGGTTTCTCTGTATTGTTTTGGAGGCTGTCTTGGAACTCGCTTTGTAGACCAGGCTGGCCTCCAACTCTCAGAGATCCACCTGCCTCTGCCTCCCGAGTGCTGGGATTAAAGGCGTGCGCCACCAATACTCAGCACATATTAATATTGATAGGACTAATAAATACGTTTTTATTGCTGTTTCAGAAAGCTGAAGTTGATGGTAGTTTAAGTGATAGCCACGTATCTCCTCCAGCCAAACGCACTTTGAAACAGCCGGACTCTGTTTGCAAAGACAAATCAAAACCACGAAGCACTGGTCAGCGAGAGGAATGGGACATACCAACTGCGCAGGCCAGGTGAGAAGGGAGAATTCGCTGTTTTTTCTTTTTTTGAAAATTTGTTGTGATTCATGATTAATATTGGTGTTAATTTTCTTTAAAAATGAAAGTTTCAGCACTCGGGAGGCAGAAGCAGGCGGATCTCTGTGAGTTCGAGACCAGCCTGGTCTACAAGAGCGAGTTCCAGGACAGCCTCCAAAGCCACAGAGAAACCCTGTCTCGAAAAACCAAAAAAAAAAAAAAAAAAAAGAAAGTTTCTTTTAAATACTCATTTATAATTTATATTAGACTTATTTTAAACTTTCTGTAATATTGTTTTTCCAAGTATGCTATAAAATGTATTTGTTTTATAGAGACGTGTATAACATGTATAATATAATCAGAAATTATTATTACTAAAAGAATAGGGATTTTGATGCATCTTGAATATACATGCATATTTATAATTCTTAGTTTCATTTTAGCCCTGCTTGTTTTAAACATTTAATTTATGCATATAGGTATGTACATGAGCCCACTCTAATGGGCATGTGTAGATTAAAGGATGACTTCCAGCAATCTGTTCTCTTCTCCCTTCATGTAGATCTTGGGGATCAAACTTAGGTTGTTAGGTTTGATGACAAGGATTTTTATCAATGGAGCCATGTCACTGGCCGGCCTGCCTGCCTGCCTGCCTATCTAACTGTCTGTCTGTCTATCTATCTATCGACACAGTTTCTCTGTCTAACAGCCCTAGCTGTCCCAGAACCCTCTCTGTAGACCAGGCTGGTCTTAAACTCACAGAGATCCAATAATGACATGCACTACCACCACCTGGCTTATTTAGTTTTGATAGAGTCTCATATAGCCCAGGCTAGACTAGAACTCCTTATGTATCCTTGAACTCTGGATCTTCTAGCTTCTTGTGACTCCTGAGGTTACAAGAGTTCACTGTGCCCAGCTTTTCTTTGTAAAGAGAAATGATGCCAATGAGTATTACTGTCAGGCTCTTGGACCGCTTGAAATTTTTGTTTTCCTTTTGCCTCTACTGCCTGGTGAGGTACTTGGGTTTGGGGTGGGAATAGGGGTTATGCAATGCTGAGAATTGAACACATCCCCAGCTCTCTTTGTTGTTAAAACCAGCTTTTTCATTAACAACAAAACAAGAGCCAAGTAAGTGCTGTCTCCTTTAGAGCAGAGCTGAACCTTACTGTGCCTTTTTCTCCCAGTGATGTTATGTTGTTCAGAGAAGCTTTACCTTTTTTTTTTTTTGGAATGATATTAGGATTGCCTCTTATTGTTGTGAATAATTTAATGATGTAAAATTTTAATCATTTGTAGCTACATCCATCTAAAATTTATTTGGCATTAAGACCTGTGAATAAACTAATTTGCAAATAAGCTGAGTTAATGTTATGTTGGGGCCAGTGCCAAAGTGTACTTATGAGGTAATAAAAGTGATTCTTCTGTGGTTTTAAGTTGATTTTGAGAATGATTTTGGAGCATTCCAGAAAAGCATTGTGCATCAGCAACATGCTAGAATACATGTATTATGTTACATCAGTTGCTTTATGCTTACATCCATATATCTTGAGTATTATGCATATAATATACAAAGGTGCTAAAGAAAAATTCTTATTTTTGAGAGTATATTGTTTTTTAATAGTTTTTATTTCTTAAAAATAATTTATTTTAACTTATTTTATGTGCATTGGTGTGAAGTCAGATCCCCTAGACTGGAGTTTTTGTTTATTTTTCGAGGCAGGGTTTCTGGCTGTCCTAGAACTAGCTTAACTGTTGCAGATCAGGCTGGTCTCGAACTCACAGAGATCCGCCTGCCTCATCCCTCTGGAGTTCTGGGACTAAAGGCGTGCACCACCATTGCCCAGCCTAGAATTGGAGTTACAGACAGTTGTACACTACCATGTGGGTGCTGGGAATTGAACCCAGGTCCTCTGGAAGAGCAGTTAGTGCTTTTAACCACAGAACCATCTCTTTAGCCCCATTGAGAGTATATTAAGACAGACTTTTTGTTTTCTATAAAGAAGGGAGGATAGGTCTTTGTGTATGTGTGTGTGTTTATTTTAATAGATTAAAGATGTATCATAGTTTGAAAAAAATTATTAAATGTTTTTGATATCTAGGTATTTTTTTCCTCTCTTACAGTTTGTTTGAATATGTTTGTCATAGCTTAGAATTTATTTTCTCATTGAAAACTATAGCTGTCTGTTGCCATGACTCCTTATGGTCTTGGTTAAATTTATGCTGCTTAACCCTAATCTTTTAATAAGATTTGAATTGGTACAGTTGACAACATAGTTAATTCAATTTATAATTTGTTATTAAAGTTTTTCTTGAAGTAATGAAATGTCTCTTAAATAGTATATTTTATTAATATGTTAACCAAAGTAAAAGATGTTACTTTGTGAAAGATAATATGTTAACATTTTAAAGATGGATAATTACTGCATTTTTAATTTCTTGCGTATTTAAACAAATATTGATATACTTCCATATTAAATACATTTGTATTCTAGGTTAACTTCTCAGCCTGGTACTGCATTACCAAACGGACATAGTAGCTTGTGTGAGTATCCTGCTGGGAAATTGGTTAATATTGAAATTCTTAGAGTTAAGTTAAGCATGAAAGTGTATAAAAGTGTAGCCATTTACTTTTGCTTTTATTACTTCCTTTTTTTTGGTACCGGGGATTGAACTGTGGTCTCCTGCATGGCCCAAAAGTTCCCTACTTCTGAGCTATACATTCTAACCCCTTAGATGATTTAATAGTATATTCAGTATAGAACTAGAAATGATTGGTTTTTATTCATAAACAAAATATTAAAATTGAGAATTTTGATTAATATTAAAGCCATTTAAGAGGTTATTCAGTTTTTACAGCCTTTTAAATTTTTTCTTTTCCTATTTTCTATTTTCCTGTACTGTGCTCTTTGGAATGAAAATATCTCTCTTGCAGCCCTTAGAAGCCATCCCCTTCGAGGGGAAAAGAAAGGAGATGGCGACCTTTCATGTATAAATGGTGACATGGAAGTCAGAAAAAGTTGTCGGTCCAGGAAAAACAGATTTGAAAGCGTGAATCAGAGTTTATTATTTGATCAACTAGTAAATAGGTATGAGTGTTTTTCATTTAATTTTTTGACTTTTAAGCTGTTTTTATGTGTGCATATGTTGTGTTTGTGTATATGTGCATATTTGTTTGAATGTGTATGGGGAGGCCAATGGAGATGCAAGGTTGACTGAGTATTTTCCTCAATTGCTCTACATCTTAATTTCTGAGACAGGGTCTCTAACTGACCCTGGAGCAAACCAAATGGCTAGATTGGCTGTCCGTTGGCTCCAGGTCCTCTTAGAATGCCAAATGTCTAAATAGAGACAAGAAATTTAATTTATAGTTGAATATTATTCCATTGTGTATATGGACCACAGTCTCATTATCCATTCATTCCTCAGTTGAAGAATATGTAGATTGTTTATATTTCCTTTCTGTTGTGAATAGAGCAGCAGTGAACATGACAGATCAATTATCTATGGAAATGAATGCCAAGGAGTGGCATAGTTGGGTCATATGGTAGATTTATTTTTAGCATTTTTGATAATTCTCCACACTGGTATCTGGAGTGTCTGTACCAGTTGACAATCCCACCACCAATAATGAGTTAGGGCCCCCCCTTTTTTTGTTCTATTTTTGTTTTTTGTTTTTTCACACTCCTTCAGCATTTGTTATTGGTTGTTTTGTTTGTCTTTACCATTCTGACTAGGGTAAGAAGAAACCACAAAGTTGTTTTGATTTTGCCCCTCCCTGTTTGCTAGGGACAATTAACTTTTTTTTTTGTCTTTTGTTTTTTTGTGACAGGATCTCTCATTGTAACCTACTATAGAACTGTCTGTCTGTCTGTCTGTTTGTCCCTCCGTCCATCCTAGAACTTGCTTTGTAGACTGGCTAGCCTCTAAGTCAGAGATCCTCCTGCCTGTGCCTCAAGAGGGCAGATATCTGTGAACTAATTACCATTTATTATTTTATGTGTGTGAGTGTTTTGCCTAAACGTAAATGCACTGTATATGCCCTGTGCTAGTGGAGGCCAGAATAGGGTCCTGGATCCCCTAAGACTGGAGCTAAGGATAATTGGATGTCACCATGTGGGTGCTGGGAATCAAACCTGTGTCCCCTGGAAAAGCAGTTAGTGCTCTTAACTGCTTAACCATCTCTTGGGCCTGCCTTATCAGCTTTTGATATCCTATCCCTTGTTGCATTGAAGATTAAGTTTTCGGTACTAGAACTTCAAAGCATAGTCAGACTATACATGTGTCATCTTCCTTGGCTTTACAGTATCTTACAATGGACTAGAGAGAGAGGTTAATGCCATATTTGTTTATAAGTTGTTATTATTGCCAGGCGGTGGTGGCACACACTTTCAGTCCCAGCACTCAGGAGGCAGAGGCAGGCATCTCTGTGAATTCTAGACCAGCCTGGTCTACAAGAGCTAGTTCTAGGACAGCCTCCAAAGCCACAGAGAAACCCTGTGTCGAAAACCAAAAAAAAAAAAAACAACAGCAAAAAAAGTGTTCTACGTGCCATAGAACAGGATTTAGTCACACTTTAAATGTTGTAGAAGTGTTTGTTAGAAGTATCACACAGCCAGATGTGGTGGTGCAGGAGGTTTAGTCAAGAAGACCTCCAAGGAGGGCACAGGGCTCCTGGGGCAGTAGATGTGGATCTCTGTGAGTTGGAGGCCAGCTTGGTCTAGAGTGAGTACCAAGGCAGCCAGTACTGTTATACAGAGTAACCTTGTCTTGAAAAACAAAAACAAAACCAAAACCAAAAAATAAGCAACAACAGAAAACCAAAGAAAATCATCTCAAGTTCAAGGCTAGTTTGGACTACATAGTAAGTTTTCTGGACTGTATTGTGAAACTTGCCTAAGAAAACTGAATCAAACAAGCAAAAAACCTAAATAAAAATTGGCAAGTTATTTTGGATTTTTTAGGTATCAGTGTTTTACTTTAATTTAAAAATGTCTGTCCAATTAACTTTAGCTTCAAAGTTTTTATATATATATCTTCTTTCTGTTTTCTTTTTTAACTACTTCATATTAAAAGATTTCAGTTTTCCTCTTAGTACCATGAGTCTAGTAGTTGTTTACCATGATATTATGGTTGTGTTTTTTTTCTTTCTTTTTAAAAAATATTCTATGTGCTTTAGTGTGTAGGAGTGAGTCAGATTCCTTGGAACTGGAATTAAAGACTGTTGTGAGCTGCCACGTGGGTGCTGGGAATTGAAGCCACATCCTCTGGAAGGGCAACTGCTTAGCTGCTGAGCCATCTCTCCAATCCCTTCCTTCCTTTTTTGCAACAGGTCTCACTATGTAGACTGGTTGGCCCGAAGCTCACTATGTAGATGAGGTTGGTTTTGAATTTATAGTCATCCACCTGTCTTTGCTTCCTGAGTGCTGAGATTAATGGTATTCACTACACCTGACCTAGTTTTGAAATTTTAATATTAAATTAATTTTATTAAGAAAATATTTATTGGTAATACAGTTTGTCTGGGGAGGCTGAGGCCAGGAGAGATAGTTGAGGCGGTGACTTAAACTGACAGTTACCAGACCCAGATTGGCCAGTGGTCCGGTGCGGAGAATCCATGGGACCCTGGACATGAACAAGCTGAGTGGATGCGGCGACGCAGGACTTTGGTAGGAGGGGGCCAGCAGAGGGGCGAGGAGTGGACCAGACAATAAGCTCACACGAGGCTGGCTGCATCCCAATGACAAAGTCATGGGACCTGGGGTTTCCTACTTGGTTCAGTACATGGATTGTGTGGAGGTCCTGCAGTCAATGCGAGCCCTTGACTTCAATACCTGGACTCAGGTCACCAGGGAGGCCATCAGTTTGTGTGAAGCGGTGCCAAAGGAGTGACAAGGAGGAGAAAGCCCTGTAGCTGCCCACTCAGCTCTGTGCTGGGGAGGAGTAACCTGAAGTTTGCTGGAATGCCAGTTACTCTCACTGTGTACAGAGTGGTCCTTTGCCTGGGCCCTGTCTGTGCCAGCCTGATGCGCTTTCCCCCAGAGGGTAGGTTCTTACAGTGGAAAAGGTGCTGGTTTACCCCTGGTCTTCAGGGTACCCCAGATCCCTCATAACATATCCTACTTCCTATGCAACTTTTTGCCTTTGACTGTCTCCTAGGTGTGTAGGTACTCTCTGCAGAGTTCTCAGGCCCTTCATTGTAGAGAGGGGGTGCTGACACCTCAGCTTCTGGAACCCCATCATGCTCAGCACCTTTCTCTGTGTTTGGGAAGAATGGGGGCAGGAGTGGCAGCTACCTCCTCTACCTTTTGGTTGTGTAGCCCATAAGAGAGTGCCCCAAGGTGGGCTTGGTGGCACATGCCTTTAATCACAGCACTCAGGAAGCAAAGACTAGGATTTGTAAGGCCAGGTTGATCTACAACAGAGTGAGTTCCAGGACAGCCAGGCCTATGTAGAGAGGCTCTGACTCCAAAACCAAAAAGAGACAAGAGAGATAGCCCCAGGGCCCCCTCCTGGTGGCGGAGGTGGGAGGGGGCAGAATTGGACCCCTGCCTTGCTCAGTGCCCCCTAGCCTTGATCCCTATCCTTCAAGGGGTCTATACATTTCTTAAGCCTGCCCCTTCCACGTTTGCTTGTGTGTTATAGTGTACAGCCAAAGTATAACCTTCCTGCAACCCCATCCAGTCTCGCACTTTTGGGATGGGTGTGTATGACTGACTTGTACCTCCAGTATGTGTATGGTTAACCTGGGTGTGTGTGTGTGGAGGCATTGAGACTGAAGCAGTGGACAATCCCCAATACCATTTGTAGGTCTGGAACTGCACTCTTTGTCGTTGTTAACACACATACATTTTAGGGCTGTGGATTTATTTTCCTGGTTTTGCTTCTTTTGCTTACTTTTTAGCACAAATTACGATAGTCTATTATTACATTTATATATCACCTTGTTGAGTTTCCAAACTTTTTTTTTTATACAACTGTTGGTATTTTACTCTCTTTGGCCTAAAAATAATTAGGACAGGATTCCTTTTTCTTCTTCCTCAAGAGACCCGAGCAGAAGTTTGGTTAAATAATGTTTTGGGGCATGATATGAAAGTTTATTTCAGACCCTACCTTCTGCTTGCGGACCTTGTGGACCGATGCAGCCTGGACAGAAAGAAACCTTGGATGTTCACCTATAGGCCTTATGGACAAGGGGTGGGGATGTAAGACTGGTTTTCAGTCTTGGTCATCGCCTACTTTTGGTTTGGATGCCTTATACCAAAGGGACATAGTTTTTATTAAAGTCCGTATTTCTTCGAAAAAAAGAAAGAAAATATTTATTTCAATTTATTTATAGATTAAAAATGAATACTAAAACTTTTGAAGTGTTTATTTGAGCCTTATAGACAAAAGGTTTATAATTTAAAAGTTTAATAAATAAAAGTTGAAGATATTTTTTCATTTATTTTTTAAAAATAAAAGTATTTTATGTGTGTTGTATTTGTATGCATATATATAATACCAGTGGAGATCAGATGAGGGCTTTGGATCCCTTGGGGCTAGAGTTACAAGTTTTTGTGAAATACCAGATATGGGAATTGTCCTCTAACAGAACAATTTCACCTTTTAATACTGTATCTCACTGTTTAGTCAGTCCTAGCTGACCTCAAACTATGTGAATCAGGCTGGTCTTGAACTCACAGAGATTCACCTAACTGCTTTCTGTGTGCTGGGATTAAAGGTGTACTCCACCACACCTGGCCATCTTGTTTCTATAAATTGGGAATTGTGTTTTGATGAATTCCGGTTTGAGATATTATACATAGTTACATATTAAGAGATAAATGAGTACTGTTTTGTTGAGCCCTTTAATGTGTCTGATATGATACAAGTGTCCACTATTGTCTAAACTCTCTATTATATGACTGTAGTACTGCTGAAGCTGTATTACAAGAAATGGATAATATTAATATCCGACGAAATCGTCGATCAGGAGAAGTAGAAAGGCTTCGAATGTGGACAGATACAGAATTTGTGAGTATATTAACTGTGGCAACCTCTGCAAGTATTTTCTTTCCTTCTCTTCTAGTTCTTTTTAGTTTTTATTCATGTATATGTGTATGTTTGTGTGAGTGGGTACCCACAGAGCCAGAAGAGGGCATTGGATCCTGTGGAGCTGGAGTCACAGTTGGCTCTGAATCCCCTGATGTGGGTGCTGGGAAGCGAGCTTGTGCTCTCTGGAGGAAGAGTAATCACTCTTAACTGCTTAGCCATCTATCCAGCCTCCAGAGTAGTTTTCTTTATACTTGCAAAAAATTAGGAACCCAGAAAGAGGATGAGCAACAGTAGATTGATTTCCCTCCAAACTCCAGTGCCTACTGTCTTCTCTCTCCTCTCCTCTTCTGATATGTAGCCAAAGATGATCTTGAACTTCTGATCTCCTGCTTCCAGGCCTGTACTATTATTATCATGCCTGATTTATGGAGTGCTGCAGATGGTACACAGGGCATTGTGCATGTGAGGCAAGCACTCTATGAACCGAGCCTACATTCCCAGTCCAATAGAAGATTTAATAAATTTTGTGCATTGGTGTTTTGCCTGCATATGTGTCCATGTGAGGGTGTCAGATACCTTGGGATTGGAGATAACAGACAGTTGTGAGCTGCCATGTGGATGATGGGAATTGAACCTGAGTCTTCTGGAAGAGCAGCCATCTCTCTGTTCTTGGATGTCAGATTTTTTAAGTGAACAATTGTTTTACTCCTCTCCACTCATGTTTGTTTGGGATTTTACTTCTTGCTCTCTTCTGGCTGATGCTGCTTCCTCGTCAAACCCTTCACTTCCTTTTTCTCCCCCTCATTTTTTTCTCTTCCAAAAAGAGTCCCTTGGGGGTTGAATCTAAGGCCTTGTATATATTAAATGACTCTATGAACTAATTCATATCCTAATTCCTATTGTTTCTTCTTTTTCTCCTTTATACTTGTTGAATTTAGGAAGCTTTTTTTTTCATGAATTTGTGACTTGTAAGTAGATGCTCAATAAATTATATTGAGCAAGTGCAATTTATTTATTGAATGTTATTTATAACAGAACAAATGCTATGTTAATATTTGACAAATTTCTTTCTTTAAAAGGAAAATATGGATATGTATTCAAGAGTAAAAAGGCGAAGAAAATCACTGAGAAGAAATAGTTATGGGATACAGAATCATCATGAAGTTTCTACTGAGGGTGAAGAAGAAGGTCCGTAAAGCAATTTGTGATGGAGAAACTAGAAAACTGTTGGGAGGGAAGAAGAGATACAATAAATGTGCAATTAGAGTAGAGTTGTTTTGCTTTTTTTTTTAGGGTTATATTGTACAATTTGAAGTAATTTAAATTTATCTGGCATCTGAATTTTCATTTCCTTCAGTTGGCAAAATGAAGTGGCCATTGGTAGCCCTTGAGTTCTCTAGTGTGAAGAAGCTTTAGCTGTGGCTTAGTCTCCAGGGGATTAACCCTCTTGTTTTACTGAAGGCAAACCCCGCCCCCCTTCTGAGACAGGGTTTCTCTGTGTAGCTTTTGAGGCTGTCCTGGAACTCACTCTGTAGATCAGGCTGGCCTCGAACTCACAGAGATTCACCTGGCTCTGCCTCCCAAGTGCTGGGGTTAAAGGCGTGTGCCACCACTGCCTGTCGAATATACCTTTTAACTAAAAGATTATTCTACTGTCCGTAACCTCCAAGTCTCTGCTTATTTGGATTTTAAATTTTGTTGTAGACTTGAGGTGTAAATAGAGAAAAATGGAAGTGCTAATAGAAGTGGAAGGATCTGTAGTGTTTTTGCCTTTCACCTGTCTAGGTCTGAACTTAAAAACACAGTGGATTTGTAGGGCTGCAACTACATGCAGAACATGCAGAAAGCACAGTGGTTTGTCAGTTTATAAACTGGTGACCAGTGCGCCTGTAGGGCTAGCACTGATCTCATAGAATGAATTTTGGGAGGTTTGGCATGTTGGAAATATATATTAGCAGGACTTTCCAAGGTAATCTGACTCCTACTGTTTGTAGATCTCAGGTGAAGAAGACTACATTTATTTCTCAAATTCTGTATTGAGTATATTAGTCAGATTTTTCCCCCTCTAAGACAGGGTTTCTCTGTGCAGCTATGGCTGTTTTTACACTAAATATGTAGACCAGACTGGCCTTGAACTCACATAGATCCACCTGTCCCTGCCTACAAGTGCTTAGATCAAAGGCATGTGCCACCACCACCTGGCTTAAGAACGCATATTTCTAATGAAGGTACTTACTGAGTAAATATTGTTGTTGTTTTAGTCAGAATCTCTATTTGTATCCTTTGGAGACAATTCATATAGATGAGACATATTGGTAATGTGATTTTTTTTTTCCCGAGACAGGGTTTCTCTTTGTAGTTTTGTAGACCAGGCTGGCCTCGAACTCAGAGATCCGTCAGCTGCTGCCTCCTGAATGCTGGGACTAAAGGCGTTACCACTACTGCCTTGCTCAGTAATGTGATTTTTGCCTTTACATACAAAAACTGAATATGTAGAGGTTCCAAAGTCATCTGTGTAATTTTTGTTCACAATACACAAGTGTACTCTTTTAAAAATTGTTTTTTTTTTGTAGAATTAGAAAACTTATTCAGGCACAGGTATTTTATACCATTATTTAGATAAGTAATAGTATATTTGCTGACTTCTTGTGTAAGCTAACACTGAAAAATGCCAAAACTGGAAATAAACTTTCAGTTGTTATGAGTAAAATATAAAGACATACACATTTACTTTTTCATTTCACTCCATATCATTCATTGGTACCTTTAACATTTTTTCCATGCTTTTATATTATATTGGCAGTTTCTGTAGTTAAAAGGTTAGTCATGAATTCTATTGTACTTGGAGACCACATGCCTACACATTTTTCATGCTTTTTATCTAATGTGTACATACATGTTATGTCATACCTATAGTCAAACCACTGCATTATAATTTAATTTTTTTGGCTAGGTGATTATCATGGAATGATCTCTTGCTGGGTATAGGTGGTGCACACCTTTAATCCTAGCACTGGACAGGCTTAGGCAGGAGGATCTCTGTGAGTTTGAGGCCAGCCTGGTCTACAGAGTGAGTTCCAGGACAGGCTCCAAAGCTACAGAGAGACTCTGACCTGGAACTTACAGAAATCACCTGCCTCTGCCTCCCAAGTGCTGGGATTAAAGGCATGTGCCACCGCTGCCAGGCTAGTTTGAAAATTTTTCTAGTTTTTCTTTTCAGTCAGGGTTTCATATACCTAGGTTGTCTTTTAGCTCATATGTACCAGAGGATAACCTTGAACTTCTGACCCACTTTCCATCATCTTCATAGTGATAGAATTATAGGAGTGTGCAACTATGACCATATTTATTTGTTTGTTTGTTTTGGCTATGCACGGTGACATGCATCTTCAATCCCAGAAATCATAATTCAGAGGCATGAGGGTTGCTGTGAGTTCAAGGCTGGTGTGACCTACATAGTTTGGTGCTATCTCAAACAAGGATACAAACAAAATATTTTATTTATTTTTATTGTATGAGTTTGTTTTGTCTTAAAAAATCTTAAAAAAAAAACAAAAAACCTCCCAAGAAAATTAAGACACTGAGTATGATCCCAGTGGCCTGCTATTCATCCATCCATCCATCCATCCATCCATCCATCCATCCATCCATCCATCTATCCATTTTTGAGGCTGGGTCTCATTGTGTAGCTCTGGCTGTCCTAGAACTCACCAGGTTGGAATCAAACTTGCAGAGATCTGTTTGCCTTTGCCTCTGAGTGCTGGTATCAAAGGGATCAAAGATGTGCGCCACCACACCTGGCTCACAGTGCTTTCTCGGAACTGTATTGATTATTGGCAGAAAGAACTTTGATTTTTATGTTTACCTGCATTTATTTTTGGCTATACTAGTTTATGCTATTATCATAAATTGCTAACATTTTAAAAATGTCACTTGTGGCCGGGCGGTGGTGGCGCACGCCTTTAATCCCAGCACTCGGGAGGCAGAGGCAGGCGGATCTCTGTGATTTCGAGGCCGGGCTGGACCAATAGCCTCCAAAACAATACAGAGAAACCCTGTCTCGTAAAAACAAAACAAAAAACAAAACAAAACAAAACAAAAAAAAAGTCACTTGTGTAGAAAAAATGGATAAAAGTAAATACTCAGTTGTAGAATGGGACTATACTTGTGGATTAAAGTTTTTTATACTTTTCATATATGGAAACTAGAATCTCAAGAGGAGGATGGAGACATAGAAGTTGAAGAGGCAGAAGGAGAAGAAAATGATAGGCCGTATAATTTGAGACAAAGAAAAACAGTGGATCGATACCAAGCACCGCCAATAGGTAGGTGACTCCAAACAATTTCTTTGTTTTCTGTAACTGAGTATAGCTCTACCAATATTGTGAGAAAAGAACATTTTCTGGGTCAGTGGTGTAGTCCTGTGGTCTTTGCTGTTCAGGAAGCTGAAATTAAAGGATCGCTTGAGCCCAGGTATCATCTTTGGCAAGGCCCCTCACCTTCAAAAAACAAAACAAAACAACAGTGCTGAATTTAAAGTAATGAAATCTCTTTTAAGTCCTGTGCATCTTTTTCTACATACTTCTGTGTAGACATGCAGCTGTCAGGTACGGTGCATGATGACAGCGATGGGTCATGTACAGCAGTATTACTTGTTCTTCCTTTCACTCATTCATTTGACTACGACTTCCTAGTATCTGTGTGTATAGATTTGCCTGTATGTTTTGTTCTGTGTTTTTGTTTTGTTGCCAGGAATTAAACAAGGGTTTGGCATGCTGGGCTAGTGCTTTGTCATTGAGACAACCTCTATTTGTGATATTTTATTTACTTAGTATAATGTTTTCCAGAATCATTTTTACTTAGAATTAAAAAAATTATTTCAACCAGGTATGGTGGTCCTTTAATCCCAGCACTCAAGAGAAAGAGGCAACAAGTGTCTCTGTGAGTTTGAGGCCGACCTGATGTTTATAGAGAGGTCTAGGGTAGCCGGGACTATGTAGGGAGACCCTGTCTCAAAAAAAAAAGTCTTATGTGTATGGGTGTTTTGCCTGCAAGTGTGTCTGTGCATACATATATGCCTGGTCCCCACAAGGGCCAGTAGAGAATGTCCTGGAATTGGAGTTACAGATGGTTGGGAGTTACTTGGGTAACTTGGGTCCACGGGAAGAGCAGCTAGTGCTTTTAACTACTGAACCACCTCTTCAGCCCCTTTACTTAGAATTTTATACTTTAAAATAGTAATTGGTAGAGTTATGCTGCTTTTCTCTAGAGGCTGTTTAAGTGTTCTGGCATCCTTCTGTTCTTGTTAGGAGTCATTGTTTCAGCTGTCACCAATGAGAGTGTGTGTTATGGTAGTAAAAGGTTGGGAATCATTATTCTGATGTTTTGTTTTGGTGGTTTGTTCTTTTCCTAAATCTAATTGAAATAATGTCCAAAGCATGTATTTGTATTCTACAATTTGGCAAACTCTGTAATATGGACATGCCCGAGAAGATGTCACCATAATCATGATGGCAAGCATACTCATCACACCCAGCCCTCAGGTTTCTTCAAACCTGTGTGTATTCTACTCTAAGTCACTGTGTCTCCCTTGTATTAGTCTTTGGGCATTTATCTATTTACTGTCACCTTAAATTAGCTTTACATGGTTTTGATTTATATAAATGTGATTACAAGTGTCTGCTTGTTTTCATTTTAATTTTTTGAAATAGTCTCATTCTCAACCTTGATTTGTCTGGAAGTTACTGAATAGATTAGGGTGGCCTCAGATTTGTGGTGATCATCCTTCCTCAGTCTCCTAAGTGGTGGAATTATAGGCACAAGCCATCATACCCAGCTTTGAAATACTAAAATACTACATTTTTGCCTTTTTTTTTCACTCAGCATAATTATTGTAGTACTCACTATAGGTGTGACTGTTTCATTATTCATTTTTTTATGAATTAATTCTAGCTTTTGGTTATTAGTTTTTATAAACCCAGGTGTGGTGGTGTACATCTTTAATATCAGCACTCCAAATCTGCCTTAGGTGCTGGACAGCCCCCAGCCAAGACCCACCTTCAAGATAGCCATGGAGTGAGAAAGTCACTCTTGTAGTTTTTGATTTTTTTAAAATTTAAATTAGAAATAAGCTTGCTTCACATGTCAATCCCAGCTCCCTCTTCCTCTCCTCCTCCCCTGCTCCCCAACCCCTCCCACCCCCTGCCCCATGCCCCCTCTGTTCCCAAGGGAGGGTGAGGCGCTCCATGGGGGATCTCCAAAGTCTGTCATATCATCCAGGGCAGGGCCTCGGCCTTCCCCCCCGTGTGTCCAGGCTGAGAGAGCATCCCTCCATGTGGAATGGGCTCCCCAAGTTCATTTTCATTTGTATGCCAGGGATAAATACTGATCTACTACCTGAGGCCCCATAGATTGCCGAGGGATCTTCACTGACACCCACATTCAGGGGGTCTGAATCAGTCCCAAGTTGCCTCTCAGCCATCAGTCTGCGGTCCATGAGCTCCCCCCTCGTTCAGGTCAGCAGTTTCTATGGGTTTCACCAGCCTGGTCTTGACCCCTTTGCTCATCACTCCTCCATCTCTGTCACCAGGTTCCAGGAGTTCAGTTCAGTGTTTTGCTGTGGGTGTCTGCCTCTTATTCCATCAGTTACTGAATGAAGGCTCTAGGATGGCATATGTCATTCAGTCTCATTATCTGGGAAGGGCATTTAAGGCAGCTTCTCTACTACTGCTTAGATTGCCAGTTGGTATCATTCTTGTAAATCTCTGGAAATCTCACTAGTGCCAGATCTCTCCTCAAACCTATAATGACTCCCTCTATTATGGTAACTCATCCTGCTCTCCTCTATTCTTCCCGCTCCCCCATGTCCTACTCTCCCCGCCTCTTTCTCCCAGCTCCCTCTCCCCTTCTCCCCATGCTCCCAATCTGCTCAGGAGATCCTGTCCCATTCCCCTTCTTTGGGGTACCATGCATCTCTCTCCTAGGGTCCTCCATGTTTCCCAGACTCTCTGGTGGTGGGATGGTAGGCTGGCACTCCCCTGCTCCATGTCTAAAGTTCATATACGAGTGAGTACATACCATGTTTGTCTTTTTGTGACTGGGTTACCTCACTCAGGATGGTTTCTTCTAGTGTCATCCATTTGCCTGCAAATTTCAAGATTCCATTGTTTTTTGTACCACATTTTCTCTATCCACTCTTCAGTTGAGGGGCATCTAGATTGCTTCCAGGTTCTGGCTATTACAAATAATGCTGCTATGAACATAGTTGAACAGATGTCCTTGTTGTATGAATGTGCATCTTTTGGGTATATGCCTAAGAGTGGGATTGCTGGGTCTTGTGGTAGACTGATTCCCATTTTTCTGAGAAATCTCCATACTGATTTCCAAAGTGGCTATACGAGTTGGCACTCTCACCAGCAGTGGAGGAGTGTTCCCCTTTCTCCATATCCTCTCCAGCATAAACTGTCATTGGTGTTTTTCATTCTTGCATTTTTATTGCCAAAAAGCCTAGTACCATGTGGATGATACTGCCATGTTTGGCTTCCATGTTATGTTAGAATCTCATGCCCTTCAACCACATTAGTAGCAGCTTTTCTAAACTGAAACAATTGCTTTCTAGGCACAAACAGTCCCTTAGGCTTTTTCTTATCATAAGTCTGAAGCTTGGCTGCTGTTTTAGTTGTTTTACTATTGCTGTGATAAAGCACTGAGACCAGGACAAAACTTATAAAAGAGTTTAATTGGGCTTGGTGTTCTAGAAGGTTACAGTCTCTGATGACAGAGTGATTGCATGGTAGTGGGAGGCGGGAGCAGCAGTTGAGCACTCACATCTTGATTCTCAATCAGAAGGCATAGAGAACATAAAACTTAATAACTTCCTAAATATCCACCAACTAGGAACCAAGTATCCAGATACCTGAGACTTACAGGGGACATCTCACTTAAACTACCACAGATGGACTCAAGGCAGTTTTCCCATTGTTCCAGTGCAGAGCGGGTCTTTCCTTAACAATTGCAATCTCTCTTTCAGCATGTGACCTGGATGTAATATTAAACTTCCTGGTGCTCTTTTTTTTTTTTACAGACTGTACACTTTGATTTTTTAAAAAAAATTATAGCTCTGCATACAAGTTATCAGTAATTACTGTGATATTGAGTCAATCCTATATACTGTCTTAAAATTTCCTCCATCACAGAAAGGGGTTTATTACTTTTAAATTTAATGTCATATAAGTTCTTAGGACATTAGGAGAAGGCAGCCAGATTCTTTATAAAATGACACATGAATGGTATATAGTCTAGTTGCTAGGGATATCCTCTCTGAAATCTCTTGATACAGATCTCTAGAGTTTGCATTGCTGTCAGCATACTGACAACATTACTGTCTTCCAGGCTCCAACTAGAATGTCCCAGTAAGCTCTGGTTACAGCATTTAGTGGATTTTCTAACCCTGAGTCCCACAGCCTTCTATAACCCTTCCAATCTAACATGATCAGTTTCTTCATAGCAGCAACCCCATTTTTCCTCGAACCAGCTTCTGTATTAGTTACTTTTGTGTTGCTATGATAAAATACTATGATCAAAAGCAACTTAATGGAGAGTTTATTTGGGTTTATGTGATTTTATTTTTTTTAATTTTATTTATTTATTTATTTATTGGTTTTATGAGACAGGTTTTCTCTGTATTGTTTTGGAGGCTGTCGGTCCAGCCCGGCCTTGAACTCACAGAGATCCGCCTGCCTTTGCCTCCCGAGTGCTGGGACTAAAGGCATGTGCCACCACCGCCCGGCTGGTTTATGTGATTTTAGAGGGATAGGTTGGTGGTAGGCAGCTGAGGGTCTGCTGTCTAGCTAGTCTAGCAGAACCAGAGAGCTCCCAGTTCAGGGAGAAATTCTGTATCAAAATATAGGACAGAGAGTGGAAGAGAATGACACGTAATGCTCAATGTCATCATCTGGTATTCATGGGAGAGTACACCTGCACACATGTGTTTGTGAGCCTTCATCTCTATGCTTAAAATCCATGGCTAAGTTCTTTCCATCTCTGTGAGTTATGAAGTGCCTGGCTCCTGTAGCTGGCTGTAGTGTTGTGGTTCGGGCCTTGAGTCTACCTTGTAGTGCTTGGGCAGATTTCTAGGGTAAGTTCACATGCACTAGCCAGCCTGGAGTTGGTCTGTGAGGTTTTATGTGGCTGGTCTGGTTCTGGGATACAGGTAGTCCTGTGCTTCCTTTTAATTCTTTCTCCAAGCAGACTGCCTCCCTGGGGAGGTATGAGGCAGGCAAGTACTGTGATTCCTAACCTGGTTTCTTAACTTCTGTGAATGTATTTTCTTTTTTGATTTTTCAAGTCAGAGTTGTTCTGTGTAACAGCCCTGCCTATCCTGGAACTCACATCTGTAGACCAGGCTGGCCTTGAACTCACAGAGATCCACCTGTCTTCACCTCCCAAATGCTGGGATTAAAGATATGTACCACCACCACCCAGCTTGTTAAGATATTTTCATATGTAAAAATTTTTTTATATTTATGCTTTTGTGGGGAATTATTCCTGGGATATTATTGTGTTGTCGTGTCCCCTAATACAAATTTTTAAAACTGGATTATACTTTTGGAAATATTAACTTAGCATATATTTAGAATGTTTCTTTGAAGCAAAATAGTACTAACACAAAGTGTTTGTCTTTATTATGCTTCCAAACAAGAGGATGGAAGTTGAAGATATATGGCTAGGTTCTCATAGAAAGTTAACAGAGGCAATTTATGCTCCTTTAGTGTATGGGATTATTAGTTTGCTATTAGTTATTTCTAACTGTCTTTTTCTTTTAGTACCAGCTCATCAAAAAAAGAGGGAAAACACATTGTTTGATATTCATAGGTCCCCAGCAAGAAGAAGCCATATCAGGTAAGTTGTGTTTGATTTGAAAGAAGAGAATGTTTGCCTCTGTAAAAAGGATACTTAATTGTATCCCTCCCTTCTTCCTTCGTTCCTGTCTTCTGTCCTTTCTGTCATTAGTGACAAACACTTATCATCCTACACGTGACTTGCTTTTGGTTCATAGTTTATTTTTTTATTTTATGGCTTTTTTTTTGACACAGGGTTTCTCTATATTGTTTTGGAGGCTGTCCTGGAACTCGCTCTGTAGACCAGGCTGGCCTCGAACTCACAGGCCTGCCTCTGCTTCCTGAGTGTTGGTATTAAAGGCGTGTGCCACCAATGCTCAGGCCATAGTTTATTTTTAATTTAATTTTTTCATTAATTTTAACTTTCATATCCTAAAACAACACAGCCTCTGATCTCATAAGAGTTGAATGGAGAACTCTCTGCCCATGATGTCATTTTTTGAGACTTTGACTTTTTTTCCCCTTGAGAAAACTAGTTTTGTTGCCCAGGCTTGCCTGAAGTGTCATGTGATTCTCCTGCCTCAGCTCACTGGTGACTGGGAATACAGATATTCATGCCAGTCATACTTGGGATACTAGTAGCATCAAAATAAAAAAAAAATAAAACAAAACTAGTAGTTACAGAGTCTTTGAAATTGAGAAATGTATCATTTCATTTTTATTTATTAAATATTAGAGACAGTTCCTTTCTGTATCACTCTGGCTTTGAGTTTGTGGTGATCATCTTGCTTCTTCTTCCATAATTCCTTTATATAGATAGTATATAGATAGTCTTTTTGTGTTTAATTTTTTAAAAAAAAACATATTCTGGATAGTAATCCCCTAGTTGATAAATCACTGGCAAGGATTTTCTTTCTCTAGGCTGTCTCTTCCCTCTGGTAATTGTGTCCTTTGTGATGTAGAAGTTTGCTTGTTTGCTTGGTGCCTGCTTGCTTATTTACTCATTTGTTTATTATCTGTCTGTCTATCCATCTATCTATCTATCTATCTATCTATCTATCTATCTATCTGATTGTTTATTTGAAACAAGGTCTCATAATAGAGCTCAGTTCATCCCCTATGTGTGGAGATAACTAGGCATGCACCATTATACCCATTCAGAAGGTTTTAAGTTTGATTTAGTTTCATTGTTTGTGTCTGTGTCAGGACATGTTGAAAGAATGCAATGTGGTAAACTTTTTTTCTTTTGGTTTTTGAGACAAGTTCTCTCTCTATAGGCATGACTATCCTGTAGACCAGGCATACCTCTGCATCCCAAATGCTGGGATTAAAAGTGCTTGCCAAAATGCCTGATCAGTTTTATAATAATTTAACACTATTATTTTTCTTTGGAATGATTTTAATCTAATATGTTGTCTAGTCATTCCTTAATATGCTTGTGATTATAATTATTTCTTTTGTTTAGTAATTTTACATATTCATTATTTTATTATTTTATGTATGGCTATTTTACCTGCATGTTTGTCTGTGCACCACTTAATGCTTGATGCCTCTTGGGGCCAGATGAGGGCATTGGATCCCCTAGAACTGGAGTTATAGACAGTTGTGAGCCACCATGTGATTGCTGGAACTGAACCTGGATCATCTAGCCACTACTCTTAACTGCTGAGCCATCTCCCCAGCCCCGTTTATTTATTTTGAGATAGGATCTTATTATGTTGCCTAGGCTGGTGTCGGGCTCAAGAGATCCTCTTACCTCATGCTTTTCCCCAAATACCTAGGACTACAGATGTATAACATCATGCCTGGCTAAGTATTTTTCTTTAAAAATATTTTATGTATTTGGTGGTAAGACTTCTGACAGGGCAGAAGAGTTTTTAGTAAGAAGTAAAAACCTTTATTTTCCTGTAAACAAGTATATTTGCTCCTTAAAATGATTGAATGTTTCTGATAATTTGGGAAAGGAAGAATAAAGAAGGCAAATGCCCTGTTCTTTGATATTGATACTTGTAACAATGGCAGATTTCTCTAAATTTCAGTTTGAAGTTTGTTGCTTCATGACCTTTCTAAACTTCCATATTTGAAAAACTACAGGTGTCTTGTTCTCTTTTCTTCATTCCTCTCCATGGAACTTACCCTTCATCAAAGCAAGCAAGCAAGTACACTAGAAAGTTAGGGGTACTATAGTGGATTTAATATTTTTCCTTTTCCAACAGGAGGAAAAAGCATGCCATTCATAGTAGTGATACAACTTCTTCTGATGAAGAACGTTTTGAAAGAAGGAAATCAAAAAGTATGGCAAGAGCAAGAAATAGGTCAGTAAATTCTTTAGTGTTGTTTCTATGATAAAAAGGGAAAAACAGTTTTTTCTTCTTTTTAAGAATAGGTTTCGTTGGGTATGGTAGTGCATGCTTTTAATCCCAACACTCAGTTGACAGAGGCAGATGAATCTCTATGAGTTTGAGGTCAGCCTGGTCTACAGAGCAAGTTCTAGGACATCTATCTAGTACACTTACACAAAGAAACACTGTCTCGAAAAACAAAATAAATAAAAAGTTTTTTATTATAAAGGCATTTTGTTATTGCTAGTATTTTAAATATTGTACAGTTGTATGTGTACATTCAGTTATTTTCTGAGTCAGTTCTCTCCTTCTGACGTGTGTACTTCTGGGATTGAACTCAAGTCATCAGACTCAGTGATAAATGCTTTTACCTTATGAGCCATCTTGCTAGCCCTTATTTATTGGCTTTTATGTTATATGTGTGCTTACTTGCATGTGTGTGTGTACCATGTGCATACTTGGTGTCCATGGAAGACAAAAAAGGGCATTAGATTCCTGCAACTGGAGTTATAGATGGTTGTGAGCTGCCATGTGGATATTGGGAACTGAATCTGGGTCCTTCTGCAAGAGCAGCCAGTGTTTTTAACTGCTGAGTCATTTCTTCAACCTCAGTATTTTAAATATTTTTTGACTTAAGGTAGTGCTGCTTTGTAATTCTTACAGGGGGAATCTAGTCTTGGTAGATCCCTTAAATTACTTAGTCTGTAATTACTAAAGTCAAACAATATTGAATAGGAAAAGGAGGGAGAGACAAGGACATCAGGCTAGCCTGTGTGGTAGTGCCATCTTTCCCTCTGCATTTCCTTCCAGCTCACATTCATTTCATGAGGCTGATTTCACACTTATAATTAGTATAATGTTCAGAGAAGGGTGCTTTTTAAAACAGATTTCTTTGTGTAACTCTGGTTGTCCTGGAACTCACTCTGTAGACCAGGCTGGCCTTGAACTTTGCCTCCTGGGTGCTGGGATTAAAGGAGTGTGTCACTACCACCTGACTAAATTTTCTATTTTACATTTATAATAATAGAGGTAATTTGCTTAGTAATTTGACATTTAGCAAGTACTTCTATGAAATCATATAGCTAATTGTAGAAATATCTCATTTTTAGTTAACCATTTTTAGATTTGTGTTAATATAAATTATGTACTAAAACAGATCTTACAGATGATGGTAAAAATATGTAAGAACAGAATTTATTTATTTGAGACAGGGCCTCCCTGTGCTGATCAGGCTGGACTCAGAGCTCAAGGGATTCTCCTATCTTCGCTTCTTGAGTCACTCAACCTAGACATATGTGCCACTGTACTTATTGAAAGTCTAAATTTAAGTACAAGTGTTTAAAGCCTATTCAATCTGATCTTCTATTCTGAGAGGGATTAGGTGGAGGGAGAGGAGGGGAAGAGAGAGAGAGAAAAAGAGAGAGATAACCTATATATGTTATTTAAGGGTAAATTAGGATTCATAAATGTCAGTGAAGTTGGAGTTATCATAGAAACTCCACTTTTGAGGCTAATGCCATATTGTGATATTTTTTAACCCGTACTAAGCCATTTTCTTGCACTATAATGAAACACTGGAGACTAGTAATTTGTGAAGAAAAGGGTTTTATTTAGTGTGTAGTTTTGGAGAGTGAGTTATACAATATGGTGCTGGCTCTGGCAATAGGCCCCTTGGCTGTGTCACATCATAGCAGATGTCATTACAGCAGGAGCACATGGAAGAGAGAGTATTAGATGGGAAGTAGGGAATGGGGGACTGAGCCTGGGTAGTGAGCAGGGTTTCATGTGAGGCATTATTCTCTTCGGTAGTCTGTCCCCAGGGCCCTCTGGCCAGGCTTCACCTCTCAAAGGTCCTCTGTGCATACCAATACACCGAAGACCAAGCTCCCAGCTTTCCTATTGGTAGAGGTTAAACTCTGTGTGACAAGGCAGATTAATGCTTGTGATTTTGCTGTATCTGTTGAATAACATGGTTTTGGTCATTTGAGAAGCATTTAGGAATGGTAGTTTAAAATATGAAGCTTTTCGATACTGTTTACTTTTTTTTTGGTTTTTTTGAGACAGTGTTTCTCTGTATTGTTTTGGAGGCTGTCCTGGAACTTGTTCTGTAGACCAGGCTGGCCTCAAACTCACAGAGATCTGCCCTGACCCTCAGGACATTCAATGTGGGGACTGGAGGGCACCTAGGAGAAAGATGGGGGACAGGAGATACGAAGTAGGACACCAAGACAGGATTCTGATCAAGGCAACGTCTTCACTCATCACAAAGGGATTTATATAGGAGAAGTGAGGAGGGGAAGGGATGAGGGTGTACTTGCAGCTGCAGGGCAAGAGGTCAGTGGGAGAGGTGGTCTGCTGTGTTGCCTGGCAACCTAATCTATAGGGCAAGAGGTCAGGAGTAGGACCTCCTATGTTGTTTGGTAACCTGACAGCAGGGTCTGATCCTATCTATTACAATTTACTATTGCTCAGGCCTATCTCCTGAGGACTTTGTGGTTTTCCAATTAAGCTAATCTTTAACTGACAGATAAACCGCAGGTCTGTTTCTTAGAATTTGTTTTATGTCAGAAGAGGCAGCAAGGTGGTCTTAGTGTCATGTCTTCTCTATGAGTACGTGATGCAGCCTAGCTGACTGATGGCCTGGAGCCCCTCACAGAGATCCACCTGCCTCTGCCTCCCGAGTGCTGGGATTAAAGGTGTGCGCCACCAATGCCCGGCTTACTTATTTTGACATTAAAATGCAAATGATAAAAAATCAAACATTTATTTATTTATTTTCTATGCATCATTATGCACATGTGTGAAGGACAGAGGGCAACTTGTGGAAGTTGATTTTTGTCTTTCAACTTGTGGGTCCCAGAGATCCAATTCAGGTCATCAGGTTGGCTGCAAGAGCCTTTACCTACTAAGCCATCTCACTAGCCCCTAATGTGAAGGTTGTTGAGTGAAGCCTTTTCCTCCACAGCCGCTTTGGTGTCGTCTCCCGTCGTCCTCCCCACCCACCAGCCGCTTGGGCTCAGCCACAGTTGCAGTCCCCAAATAACACACAGGATGCTATATTACTTATGAAGCTCTTGGCCGTTTGCTTGGTTTCTTACTGGCTATCTCTGACATAAGTATTTACCCCATAATTGTTAATCTAAGTATTCATCTTACTGGAGAAAGGATCCGGACCTTTTTTTACTCCTCTAGAGGCTTCGTCGTGACTCCCTGTGTTTCTCTTTCCCAGAATCCTTCTCGACTCCTAGTCCCACCTATCTTGCTTCCCTATTGGCCAACAGTGCTTTATTCAACAACCAATAAGAGACAGATTTCAGAATGACATCTCCCATCAGAAGGTTTTAATGCTTTTATCATGTTTTGTATATTTCAGATGTTTGCCTGTGAACTTCAGAGCAGAAGATTTAGCTAGTGGCATTCTCCGAGAACGGGTGAAAGTGGGTGCGAGTTTGGCTGATGTTGATCCGATGAACATTGATAAATCGGTAAGTTTGTAAATGCTTCCAGAATTAGTTTTTCTGTTTTTAAGGTTTTCCTTATTTTTAAAACCCAGATATGACCAATATTAACAGTTTCCTGAGTGTGTTTTGGGTCCTCAAAACCGTGGTCACATGTGCCACTTGGTAAAGTTTTTCCTTTCACTGTTACTAGAATCTACAGCAGATAGGAAATGAAGCTGAGAAATTCTGTATACCACAAAAACCAGTGGGCTGATGAAGGCATTACCTCATTTTATAAGAAGACTTGGATTTTATGTACCTTACTTTGTGATGTTACTAATGAGTTTTAAGGGAAGCAAGGCTAGTATTACAGGGACTGCTTAGGTATTATTTGGAAACTAATCCTGAGCAACAGTTAGTAGGATTGCAGCCAGGCAGTGGTGGTGTACGCTGGGAGGCAGAGGCAGGTGGATCTCTGTGAGTTCGAGACTAGCCTGATCTACATGAGCTAGTTCTAGGACAGCCTCCAAAGCCACAGAGAAACCTAGTCTCAAACCATCCCCCCGCCACCTCCCACCCCCTTCACCCCCACAAAAAAAGAAAGAAGGATTGTAGAGAAATAAGTGCATTTGATAGAATTAAGGCATTCAAATATGGTGGGATTTAGTGGTTTAATTGCTTTTGGAGAATGACAGAAACAAGCTGAGTGTTAAATAGGTAGATAATGGGTAGTCTTGATAGGTATTGGGTGGTTCCATTATCTGAAGTAGAGTATACAAGAGGAGGAGTAAGATGGGAAGGGGTTTAATTGACTGTAGACATGTTACAGGTATCTGTGGCATACTATAAATAGAAGTTACTTGTAAGCAGTTGATTGGTTTTGGTATGAGATAGAAATATTTGGGATAGAAATTCAGGTATCTGTTATCAGTGCAAACATTGTAGAAATCACTGGTTATACCCCAAGTAGGGGATGTGGTACGAGAAGAACCAAGTTTATGAAGTTGGGGTCCACTGATCATAATGTAATTTGAAATATTCCCTCATAATCAAAATTTACTGAATTTTTCTGGGTCTCTTGCATCTTCATACAATGTAATTTGATTGATTCTTATATGTGATTTAAAAGAAGTTATCAAATATACTATTGACGATGAAAATTTAGTTATCTCCAATCTGAACAGAATAAAATATTTTTTTCAGTAACTAAGACTAAAGGAAATTTTAGATTATATATATTTTGAATTCCTAGGAAATAGTACATTTCTTGAGGACTTTATCATCTTTTTAGATTTGATTTACTTTACTCTTATAAGTCTATTAACTTTAGATGTCTCTGCCAGACAATTCTATTTTGATACCATATATAAGAAAAGAAAATTTAGCTTCTTTTAAAATGTTTCTGGTTTTGACCTGCTTCAATTTTTATAGTTTACTTTTCCTGTCATAATAAATAGTTTATAAGACGGTTCCAGGTTCCATGGAAGAATGAGAAGCAGGGAAATGGCGCCACCACAGTCTAGTAGGCAATCAATGTTAACATTCTATAAAATTTTCTTTAGGCAGCTTTTCTATAGACTTTCTTTACAGACTCCCTTAATCAGTGTAACTTATGTGTGAGAGGAACAGTTTCTGTCATTTCTGCTGTATCAGAGATATATCAGTGCTTTCCTATTTTTTCATTATTGTTCCCTGTGGGGGGAAAATCAATTTCTTCTTAGTAGAAGAAGTATATACTAAAGAGTTAATTTTTGTTTATGTTGTGTTTTGGAGAGCTATGGTAGTAGCAAGGGTTTTCTTGCTTTATCTATGAACTCAGTTTTATCTGGGTGGGAAGGGGGGACAGTATTACATCAGCTGAGGATGTATAAGGTATGTGAGACAGATAATTAAAGGATCTGAAGTGTTAGTGTATAGATGTGACACCTTCTATAGATTCTTCTTTATGTTTTCTGTTGGGCATTGACCTTATTCCTGGGTTACTTGATTACTGAAAGATAGCTTTATTTGCTTCAGTTGAGGTTTATCCTTGACTTTATTCTTCTACACTTATTTGTGTATGTGTTCATAAATTTCCAAAGGAATGTACTTCTGAATCATAGAACTCACAATTAAAAGCATTTATAGAACCTAGGTCAGGTGTGGTGGTGCACGCCTTTGATTCCAGCACTTGAGAGGACGAGGCAGGTGGATCTCTGAGTTCAAGGCTAGCCTGGTCTATACAGAGAGTTCCAAACCAGACAAGGTTACATAGTAAGACTTTGATTCAAAAACAAATAAAATTTTAGAACCTATGAAATCACTTTGTATTAAATTCTCCCCTCTTTTTCCAAGGTGCGGTTTGATAGCATAGGTGGATTGAGTCATCATATACATGCTCTGAAGGAGATGGTAGTTTTTCCACTTTTATATCCAGAAATTTTTGAAAAATTTAAAATTCAGCCTCCAAGGTATGTCGTTGTATCTTAGACGTTTATTATTCTAGTTATTTTAGTTGAATATCAATTAATTAGGTTTTGATTGCAAACATCTCATATATTTATTTGACGTGTTTTAACAATGATGATTAGTCATTATTTAGAGTGCAAAAGCTTGTTTTCCAACTTGTACCTGATTAGGAGTCATTCAGGCACAAGTTGAAATTCAGAAGAGATATGAAATTCCAGGCCTTTTAGAATTGTTCTATACTTTTAACCCTTTCCTGATTGTAAGAGTTTGGTCTTTTGAGGACTCAGCAAAGTGAAAGTTTTTGGATACACTAGAAAAGCCTTATCAAATTGCTGCATAGCAATCTAACATTTGGGAGAGGAAAATCCTAAATTGATATCATTGAAAATAACAGTAATTTTCTTTGATAATCTGTATATGAATTTCTTTTATTATAAAATCATCTCTAAATACATTTTTTGATTCTTTATTCTTCTAGGGGCTGTTTATTTTATGGCCCTCCTGGCACAGGTAAGACCTTGGTTGCCAGAGCACTGGCTAATGAATGCAGTCAAGGAGACAAAAAGGTGGCTTTTTTTATGCGTAAAGGAGCTGATTGCTTGAGCAAGTGGGTTGGTGAGTCGGAAAGGCAACTTAGGCTTCTTTTTGATCAGGTAAGAAAAATCGGTTAATTCAAGGGTGTCTTTTTTCTTCTTTTAAAAGAATATTTACTATATTTTGTCTGTAAATACAGTTATGAAGAGACATATGTTCTAATTAGTATGTGAAATTTGGGATTAGTAATTTAAATTGTAAACTTTAAAAGCGTAGTTAGTTTCTGTTATTTGGGAAATAGGTTCTAGCAGTACCTATTTGCTGGTACATCCAAAATCTACAGTATATAAAATAATAAAGGATTTGAATGTAGCTTATGTACATCTTCCTGTGTGCTTAACAGCATCCCTACATCTCATACAACATATGTACTGCATAATTAGGTTTGGCAGACCTGTCCAACCTATTGACATTGCAAGAACATGTTTGTTTTTTTTTTTTTTTTTTTTGCAAAGTTCACACTTCAGAACCATACAGTTGAGTTAAAAAATTATGCACATACACAAAAATCTCATTTTACAGTCTTGTGTGCTGTATCCATAGATAGTATGGCACATGGGCCACAGGGTGGATACACCTGTTACTGTAGGGACAATGACAAGGAAAAATGTCTTTGTATGTGTTTGCTACAGATATAGATTTTTAAAAAAGTTTTATCTGCAATTGGTTGAAACATTCATGAGTTTTGCAGACCTCCTGCATTTTGGAAGCTGCTTATATATTTAACCCCAATTATCTAGTAGATTTGAATATTTATGATGATCCATAAAACACCTATTGTGGTGACTATTGTGAGTACATGTTAGGTACCACTGGAAACCTGGGATATAAAGTAATCTTAGATTACAGTCTTACTGAGGAAATGGTACCAACAGAAAATGTTAAATATTTGTGGGAAGCATCTCATAAAACAGTATGTTATTTATGGTTGTAGTTATATATTGGATACTTTTCTATCATTGTATACCTGGGGCAATTAGCTTATGAAGAGACGAGCTTATCTGGGCTTATATTTGGTGGTTGTAGTCTGTGATTGGTCCCTTTGGTTTTGACATTTGGTAAGATTGCACATGATGGCAGAATACATGGTAAAACAAAACTGTTTATGCTTTAGCTCATTAGACAGGGAGGAAAAAGTGAAATATTTGTAGGCCAGGGTCCCATGGTCTCCTTTAGGATGTGTGCTCAGTGACCTAAGGAATCCCCCATTATGCCCTACCTCCTGAATATTTCACTATCTTATCATTTAAGTGCCACCTTAAAGGCTCAGAAATGTTAGAGGCATACCAGATTATAAATACATGGCTGAAAGAATTTGGAATTAAATGAATGCTTTGAAAAGGCAGAATGAAAGAAAACGAGTAGGTTAAATGAAGAGTGACTTTTTAAATTTTATTTTCTAAAATAGAACATGGTAGAATGCAATTGTAATCCCAGATATTTATTATTAGTTATTATTACTGTGTGTATAAGGCCCTGCGTTCAGTCCCCTAGAATCACAGGAAATAAATAAACATGATAGTAAAAGGAAATCTCTCTCCTGATCCTGAGGTGAGAGGATTAGGTGAGCCTAGATAATAAAACCCAAGCATGGTGGCATTTGCCTATAATCCTAGCCCTGGGAGTGTGAGCTAGGAGGGCTGGGCTGATGTTCAGTCTCAGACTGGTCTGAGCTAGAGAGTTACACCCTGTCTCAACAAACAACCCAAACAATCAGAACACAAATTTCCTATACCTTAAAAAAAAAAATTAGTACTAATACTGGTGTCCACATAACTGTTGGACTTAGTGAAGGAAATGTGTCATAGTTGGCGATTCATTTTATATTTGATTATGCCTCTATAAATATATGTGAAGAAAAAGAACAGTCAAGAATTTATTAGCCATGCATTTCTATGGTGAAAGCCAGGTCTGTTGGCTGATACCTCTAATCCCAGCAGTTGAGACAGGGGCCAGCCTGGTCTTATGGTGAAATCCATATCCTCCTGGACTACAGAATGAAAAAAAGTGATTTGCAATTGGTGAAACAATTCAAATATCATTTAAAAGTTAGTAATATAGAGCAGAGTGTAGTGGCTTTAATCCCAGCACTCAGGAGGCAAAGACAGTTGAATCTCTGTGAGTTCAGGCCAGCCTGGTATACGTAGCAAGTTTCTGGTCATTTAGGGTTAAATAATGAGAACTTGTCTAAGAAGGAAAAAAAATAGTATTAAAACTCTGTGTTTTAGATAACAGAAAGAAATGAGTAAGATCTAAACTTGATTGTGTTCAATGTTTAATGCTAAGTCACACATATGCCATCTGAATAATTTAAGGAAAAATAGTGACTGAAAACAGTGTAAAATAACAGCAACAGAGATTGAAGAATTCACAGGAATGCTTGCATGTTATATAGTACATTAAAAGTTAAACCTTTTGGTTATTACACTTTTTAGTCTTATCATGGTAGATACGGGAGTATATGTTGGTCTCAGTTAAGATTGTGGCCCTAAATTATAAAGATTATTTATATTTACTTTATTGTTTCTTCATAATTTTCTTGTGTGAATAGTGCTTGATGAAATGTTTGCTTTTGCTGATAATTATGACTTTTAAAAATAGCAAATATTATGTTTTTATATGGAAGCTAATTTAGATTTATAATTCTGTTAAAAAGACAAGTGTTCATAACTGGGTAGTATGCAGATTGTGGTTGAGTACATTCTTAGCATCTGTGAAGTCCCGAGTTCAATTTTCATAGTAAAGAAAAGATAAAACACTAGTTTTGGACTGTGGGACACTTGTAGCTGACTCTGCTGCTGTTTCCTTTTTACTGTGCTGTTTTTTGTTTTGTTTTTATTTTGATTCTACCAATTGAACCCAGGTCCTTGTACATGTTAAGAAAATGGTGTACCACTCAGCTACATTCCCCAGCTCTGCTGTGTACATTTAAATACTTGTTGCATGTTGTACTATTTGCTTATATGTTCATTTTTCAGGAAATATAAAGTTAAATTAAAAGTGAAAAGTTAATTTATTTTAATTTTTTCCTTGCTAGGCATATTTGATGAGGCCTTCTATAATATTTTTTGATGAAATAGATGGATTAGCTCCAGTTCGTTCTAGTAGACAAGATCAGATTCACAGGTAATTTCCCTGAACTTACTGTATTGATTTCTTTTCACTCATTTATGTAGTATTTGGTTTTAGCCCTTGGTTAAAAACTTTAAAGCTTACAGGAATTTTTAAATGCGGTCTGTTTTATGGAGGTTCTTTCATTCAACACAGGATTAATTGACAATCTGATAATGATTTGGTTGTTTTCAGTTTGGGATACCATGATTGTCCTACTGTATGTGTGTGTGAGGGGGTGGGGGGGTCCTAGGGATGGAATTCAGGTTGTTAGTCTTTGCGTCAAATGCCTTTCTTTACCTGTGGAGCCATCTCTCCAGCCCCACTGTCCTATGTTCTTTTCCTGTAATACATGAGATTTTTAATGACTCCTTATCCTCTCCCTTCCCCCAGAGCTGAGATTACGAATTCACATCACCATGCCTAGCTTTTTTGTGGGTGCTTGCATAGCAAGCACTTTATTCATCTCTCTCTTGTTATTTTATTTTGATACATTGATTATTTAGAAAAGTATCTAATTCACAAATACAGTCATTTACCAAAGTGTTTTTTTTTTTTTTTTTTTTTTTTGAGACAGGGTTTCTCTGTATTGTTTTGGAGCTTATCCTGCAACTGTCTCTGTAGACCAGGCTGGCTTCGAACTCACAGAGAGCCACCTGCCTCTCTGCCCTCCCAGCTCCTGAAGGTGTTTTTTCAGTCAAGTTCCTGCCACAATCTGTCCAAGACTTGTAGTCAGCTTAAATACCCTGTTCTAATTTATCACTTCAGTCCCAGCTTCCACATAGTTATCTCAAACCATGTCATCCATCTCTGTCTAGTGCCTTTTGCTCTTGTGGCTTTTGGAGACACAAGAATTTTGACCCTCTATCCATGTGCCACATCTAGATCTACTGATCGCCATAAAAGAAGTGGTAGAGAGACTGTACTATGTAGAGCTGAAGCCTACACAATTTACCAAACTGGCACTTGGAGATACATTTTCAAAGAAAGCCGTCTACTACGGATGCCACTTATAAAAGGGCAGAGATACCTGATCAGCTAGATACATTGATGTCAATGTAAGCTCACAAAAATCCAAAGAAAAGTGGTAACATGACAACTGAGCATAGTAGCTGTCAAGCAATAGACCTCAAAGGAAAAGGTACAAGTGAGGTGACTAAGAAAGAATTCTATAGAATAAATATAATGAAACTGAATGAGATTTAGGTGAATACAGACAGCTCAACAACATTTAGGAAGTAATTCATGATATGAGAAATTCAACAAAGAAAAAGAAACCTTGGAAGTGAGGAACTCAAAAATTCAAACAAAAATTAACATTAGAGGAAGAGACAGAATTCTTCAAAATAAATGAAAGGAGGGGATGGGGAGATGGCTCAGTGTCATCTTGGTGTATAATTAATCATGTGTTCTGGAGTTCAGATACCCAAACACAAGGAACAATCTAGGCATTTTGGGACTGCCTGTAATTCTAGCTCTGAGGGATTGGATGCCCATTCTGACTTCCAAATGTTTGGTGTGTACCTGCACACACATGTGTATATACATGTGCACATACATCTTTAAAAAATACAATTAGTGAAACACAGGTTAAAAGAAAAAATCCAAACAAAAATGGATATATAACATATCAGAATCTAAGAGCTGTAGTAAAAGCAGTACTTATGAAAGCAATTTATTGCGATAAACCTAAAATAAAAATTAGATTTTAAATAAATAATTTAATCATGCATCTAGTATATATAGAAAAACAAGAATAAACCAAGCATAAAATTAGTAAAAGAAAGAAATAATAACCAGAACAGAAATAAATGGAAATGTGTAAACATAAAAATAAAGAGATCTGTGATGGCAAAGATTTTTTAGTGGTAATATTGACAAACCTCTAAGATTAATCAGAAAAAGTAAGTAAAAGCCCCAAATAAACATTTAAAGACAAGTATTAAATATAACCGTGGGGATTATTATGGACAACTGTATTCTTACAGGAAAGCATAAAACAAAAGAACAGTTTTGGACATCTGACCTACACTGAGGCCATATGAAATTTATATTGACCAATAGTAGGTAATAAAATTGAACCTGGCATGGTAATGCATGTGTATAATCTTAGCACTCAGGTGGCACCCACATATACAAACTCATAGATACACATATAAATAAAAATTAAAAATTTGAGAGATTGAGCAGTACAAAATGGAAATGGGAAAAAATGAAAGATATCCTCATTGATTAATATTAATAAATTGTCTTATACTATCCAAAGCAAGTTACGCTTCAGTGCAATTCCCCTCAAAATACCATTGACAGTCTTCAACTTAGCCCTAAAATAGATATGGAAGCGCAAAACACTCTTAGTAGTCAGAAAAATGCTGTGGACATAGAAAACACCCAATTTCAAGATATACTACAGAAATATAGTAACCCAAACAGGATGCTATTGGCTAGAAAAAGACACATAGACTAATGGAATAGAAAGAGATGTCAGAAATAAACCACTACATCTATAGTCATCTGATTTCCAACAGAAGTGTTAAAATCAAATATTTGAGAAAGGCCATTTCAATAATCAAACATTTCCTCAATTGAAACTTTACCTCTGCTTCCCAACTCAAAATGGATTACAAATCTTAAGATGGAAATTGGAAACCTCTAGAACACAACAGTACCATCAGTTGAGGACCAAACATCTAAACATGAACCTATGTGGGTGATTTCAAATTCAAATCAGACCAATGGTTAAATATAAATTTATAGTTAAAGATACCACTTCACTTTATTTCTGGGTAAAATGCCCATATCATAAAATTTCAGTCAACCAAATAGAAAACAAATCACAGATACTTCCTAAAAAAAAAAATCACATTTTAATTTTGTTTATATTTTTTTTAATAATAGCTAGAGTAGTGTGTTTGGGAGGGAAAATTATTTTTTGACATGGTTTGAGTATTCAGAAGTGTTTTAGTAGTGAAAAGAATAAGAGTGCCAACAGTTGGCAAACTAAGAAAAACACTGTTGTTAGAAATAAGGGAACACAGATACCATACATTTTCAGACATGGAAACAAACAGATAGCCCCACAGTTTCTCTACTAAAATAAACTACTGTAGCCGTCCCCAATTTGGGGAATTCAAATCTAGGGCCTTTTGTTTTGTAGGCAAGCCGCCTCCTCCTCCTCCTCCTCCTCCTCCTCCTCCTCCTCCTCCTCCTCCACTTCTTCCGCCTCCTCCTCCTCCCCCCCTTTCTTCTTCTTTCTTCCAGGGTCTTTTTATATGGCTTTTGCTGTCCTGGAACCATGTAGATCAGGTTGGCCTCAAAATCACAGAGCTCAACCTTCATGGAAGTTATACATCAGCCTCCCAAGTGATAGGATTAAAGGCATATACCACCACACCTAGCTGGAGGCAAACTTGTACCCTACCACTGTAAATTTAAGTTATTTTTCTGTGAAACAAGACTATTTTTTGTTGCCCAGACTGACTTGAAACTTCTGGACTCAGACATTTCCCCAACGCCTGAGTATCCATGACTAAATGCATGCACTACCGCATTCTGTTTCTCTGTTTATACCCCCCCCACACCACTACCATGCATACACAGATCAGAGGCAATCTTTGGGAATGAGTTCTTTCCTTCTAATATGGGTTTCAAGGACTGACAAGCACTCTTACCTGCTGAGCATTTTGCCAGCCATCTATTATTTCAGATAACTGTAGCCCAGGCTGGCCTGGAACTTGTATTCCTTTGTATCCATCTCCCGATGACTTTTGGGAGTATAGGCATGTACCACCACATCTGGCTTTCTTTACTTGTCTCTATAAGATTTATTTACTTTTATGTGTATGAGTACTTGCTTGCATGTATGTATATGTACCATCGATGTGCTCAGTGCTTGCAGAGACCAGAAGAAAGTGTTGAATCTCCTGGAAATGTGGCAACAATTGATATTAAGCTGCCTTGTGGATACTGGGCATTGAACCCAGAGCTTTTGCAAGAGCAATTAAGTGCCCTTAACTGCTGTGCCATCTCTCTGTGTAGTTCACCCACTTAAATTATATAAATCATTGGCTTTACAGAGTTCCATTGCCACCACAGTTTTATAATATAATCCCAGAACTTGTGTTCTTTGGGCATTGCTTTCAGCCTTTTTGTTAGGCACCCAGCACTAGGAAATCACTCTGTACTTCTTGTTTCTGTAAGTTTGCCTAGTCTAGATATTTTGTAAGTGTGATTCTGCGATATTTGGTCCTCCTGCCTATATTTTTCAGTTAGCAGTATTTTCAAGCCTTATTCATGTTATCAGTTTATCATTTTCTTGGAGGAATGTCACTGGGGACAGAGTTTTTAAATTTGTAGATCTGTATTGCCTGCAAAACTCTGTGTAAACATGGTGTCCTCAAACCGGTGACCCCCTTGCCTTAGCCTCCTGAGTGCGGCCTCCTGGTAGCAGCCTGATCTGTTGCATTTGTTGACACAGTTCAGTCTGGATGTATCATACTTTACTTATCCACTTGTTTGTGGTATTCACATGCTCTGACTCTCACGATGTTTTGAATAATATTGATCTGTATATCCACCCACAAATTTTTCTTTGTGGATGTTTCTGGGTCATATAGTAACTCCTAAATAGTAGAAAATCTGCTATATTTGTTTCCAAAAGTACACCATTTTATATCAGTATCCAACAGTGTGTGAACGTTATGATTTCCCCAAGACTTCACCAACACCTTTTTATGTAATTATAGTTATAGTGGGTTTAAAGTGGTACCTAATTTGGTTTGATTTGCATATGCTTAGTTTAATGATATGCCCTTTGGATGCCATCTTTGGAGAATTGCCTTTTAAATCCTTTGCCTATATTTAGATTTCACTATTTGCATTGATCATTTATTATAGTTATGTTTTTTTGACTTTATACTTTCTTTAAATATATAATTTTCAAATAGCTTTTTATTCTCTTGTGTTGTCATTTCATGTTCTTTTTTTAAAGCATTTTAAAATGATTTCTTTATTCTTATTTTATGTGCATTGGTATTTTGCCTGTATATATGTCTCTGTAAGGGTGTCAGATCTCCTGGAACTGGAATTACAGAAGTTGTTAACTGCCATGTGGGTGCTGAGAACTACTGAGCTATCACTCCAGCCCTCTCATTTGTTTGTTTTTCGAGACAGGGTTTCTCTGTGTAGCTTTTGAGGCTGTCCTGGAACTAGCTCTTGTAGACTAGGTTGGTCTCAAACTCATAAAGATCTGCCTGGTTCTGCCTCCCTTGTGCTGGGATTAAAGGCATGCGCCACCATCACCCAGCTTCATTTCACATTTTTGATTGCATCCTTTGATGCAGGAAAATTTTACTTAACTTCAGATGTCCTATTACATTCGTATATTTTGTGGGTGCATATGTGTGTATGCCATGACCTGCTAGGGAACGTGTGTAACTTTTCATTAGTCAGTTCTCTGTAACAGGAAAAATAAAAAGACCCAGAGAAAGATACTGAGGTTCAAGCTCCAAGCTGATGATCAGAGAAGCAAAGCAGCCAAGCCAGTAGGTCTTACCTCTACCCAGGCTGAAGCAACCCTGCCCTTAGTGAGGCTGCAGACAAAAATGCCCCAGTCTGAATATCTGTTCCTATCTTATATACCTCTCTAGAACTGGCTTAAAGGTGTGGGATCCCAAGTACTGAGATCTCTTTTGTGTGAGCTGTTTTTCTTTTAGACTGATTTCAATCTTGTGTCACCCTTGGTGGCCTTGGACTCACAGAGATTCATCTGCCTCTGTCTCTTGAATCCTGGGATTAAAGGTGTATGCTACCACTGCTCAACTTCTATAGCTAGCTAGTATGTCTGGCTTTGCATTTTGATCCTTCATACAATCATAAATAATCATATCATCACAATTCTCTTATCATGTGAGTCCTGGGGATTAAACTCAGATCATAAGACCTACTGGCAAGTGGCTTTACTCACTGATCCGTATTGCCATTATATTTTGTAATTCTGGACATTGAATCCAGATCTTTGTGTATGTTAAATAAGTGTTCTTTGACTTGCATTTTAATTTTTTTTAATCTTAATTCCTTCCTTTTTGTTCTGAGATAGTCTTGATATGTTGGCCAGTCTGGTCTCCAACTCCTGAACCTTGTCATGGAGTTGTACACCCTGCTCAGATTTTAATTTCAATATTATCTTTTCTTTCTCTGTTTTTTCATCCTCACCATTTTGGTTGCTGTGGTTAGATGTCTATTGCATTTTCTGTCTTGTATTTTCAATATTGATTTCTCTGTGTAATATTAGTATGTGTTTGTGGCACAATTACTGTATTAATATTTAATCCTTAATTATTATTAGCATCAATGTTTACTTCTTTTCTTTCATTAAGTTTTACATGGATTTTTTTCAACAGCTCTATAGTGTCAACCCTCCTTGCTCTTATGGATGGATTAGATAACAGAGGTGAAATTGTTGTTATTGGTGCTACAAACAGACTTGACTCTATAGATCCTGCACTCAGGAGACCTGGTCGTTTTGACAGAGAATTCCTTTTCAACCTGCCTGATCAAAGGGTAAGACTGTTTTGTTGTTGTTGTGTTTTTATTGGTATTCACACAGACATATAAAATATATACATACAAATACATGTATAGTAAGCTTGTAACTCAGTTACAAAGCATATACGTTGAAGGATATATTTTCATTGCTATTTTTTTGCTTATGGGATATCTTCGTTAATACTTTAAAAAATCCTGTGTCACATTCCTTATTAATGCTTGGCTATAATTGTAGCACCTTAGGGGACTGAGGTATGAGAATTCTAAGTTTGAGGCTAGCCTGGGCCATGTAGTATTTTAACAACTGGAACAACAACAGCAAACTACGTGAAAGTTTTGAACAGTTCATTTTTGCTCTTTTAGTACTTACCAGAATGTCAAGAACTTTAGAGAAAGGAAAGTTCCTGATTGGGTTTCTGTAGATGCTTATTTGTTGCCCCTCCTTCCAGTGAAACAATTATCATGTATACTTATTATGTGTCTCTATAACATTGGTCCCAAAAACATTTAAAACATTTAATTATTTTTATTTTATTAGTATGAGTATTTTGCCTCATGTTTGTAAACGTACCGTGTGTATGCCTGGTGCCCGTGGAGGCCTGAAGAGGTACTGGATCCCTTGGAACTGGAGTTACAGATGGTTATAAGTCACTGTGTAGGTGCTGGGAACCGAACCTGGGTCCTCTGCAGGAGCAAAGAGTATTCTTAACTGCTGAGCATCTTTCCTGCCTCCCTTCCCTAAAAATATGTACATATATATCCTGTGCCCAAATTTTATAGTTAACATATGAATTCTAGCTAATTAAAAGCAGTAAATGTTGTTCGTTATATTTGCAGCATTTAAAAATGTTGTATTTCTGAGTGGCAGTGCCACATGCCTTTAATCCAGCATAAGGGAGGCAGAAGCAGGGGGATCTCTGTGAGTTTGAGGCCAGCCTGATGTATATAGAGCTAGTTCTAGGACAGGCTCCTAGAGAGCTATACAGAGAAACTCTGCCTTCACCCCCCCCCAAAAAAGATGCATTCTTTAAAGAATGTTCCCTTAAGACCGAATAATATATTATCATTTATTATAGTAATTGTTTAATATGTTATAAAGTTCTTTTCTCCCTAATTGTATTTAAAATTTTTATTGTTAGTCATGATTTGATTTGTTTCTTAAATTTCTGTGAGAAGTCCTATTGAAGAGGAGATACTGTGTATGAATGTGTATTGTATGTGGATTGCCTGATTTGCATACTTAGACATAGAAGCCTTGGTAATTAGGACTATAGAAAAGCAAAGGATACCTTTTGTAAAAACAGTTTGATATCTCAGTTTGACATCTGTCTGCATAGCTACCTGTCATTAGATTTGGATCTACAAACTTTTTTTTTTTTGAGACAGGGTTTCCCTGTGCAACCCTGACTGTCATAGAAGTCTCTATGTAGACCTTGCTGGCCTCGAACTTGCAGCGATCTGACAGTCTCTGCCTCCCTGTGCTGGGATTAAAGGTGAGCACCATCAGTGCCTGGCCACAAACTAATTTAAAGGTTTTAAAAAGGTACATGGTTTACCCTTATTAGGACAACATATGTAGTCCCTGTAACTTTTCTTTAAAAATATTTTTAATTTATTCTTTGATAATTTCATACTCTTATTCAATATGTTTGATCATATCCATTCATTTTCTGTCTTCAAATTTCCCCAGAGTCACCCTCCCTGGCAACCCATCTTCCCAACTTCATGTTCTCTTAGTTCCATTGTCCCCTTTAAGAAAGTATCTCACTGAGTCGACATAGTGCTGTTCATATACATAAAATAAATGGGTTTGAGGTCATTCAATGAAATATGGGCAACCTACCAGTGACCATACCCCCAAGGAAAAATTATTGTCCCGCCCTCATCAGCTGCCACTTGCTCCTCATCTAGGGGTGGGTTTATGCAACACTCTTCTATCCATGCGGCAGATCGTGTGCAGGTAATGATAGCTGCTGTGAATTAATGAATGTAATAGCTTTATTATGTCAGCAAATAGCATTTCACAGCACTTATCCTTCTCACTCTTATTCTTCTGCCTCTTATTCCTGTTTTTCTTACTATTTTATTTATCTGTTTATGTGTGTGAATGTCTGTGTGAGTATAGATGTCAGATCTCTTGGAACTAAAATTACTGATTGTTGTGAGCCACCATGTGGGTGCTGGGAATTGAATCCAGATCCTCTAGAAGAAAAGGAAGTGCTCTTAACCCCTGAGCCATCTCTCCAACCCTTCTTCCTCTTCTATGATGTTCCCTGAGGCTTGGGATGGGGTTGCGGTGAATATAGTCTCACTTTCAGTTGCCCAGGTGCAGCTGCCAGGAATGTGTCAGTGCCTGGAGGTGGACTTAATTGTAGGTGATATGGCCAAAGTGGGCACTTTTGCTTTGATATAGAGAAGTATCAGTTTGTGACATCTAACAACAGGCTAAGCACTGCGTTTTGGCCTACCAGTACAGGGGAATATCCTTAGTTCAAAGGAGAGAACTGTGATTTGACATGTATATGCATACCCCTATCTGCCTGCTAATAGTAATGAATAAAATTTAAAAAAGTATGGTAAAAAAGTAAAGATTTAGTTTGAAATTCTAGTCACACATTAGTGATTTACTTATTTTATGCCACCACTGAAGTTTCTTTACTTCTTAGAACATTAACTCTCTTAACTTGTGGAACAGAGACAAAAATCTTAGGTTTTATAACTCATGAGTTGGTTTGGATGACAAGGTGTTTAAGTCTCTTTTAAAACAACAACTTGGTGTGGGGTTACAGTCAGAATTTGTTGCAGATAACACATGAGAAATCGGTGCTGTCTTATGCCACTTTACTCTTCTTCTTAGGCCAGAAAGCACATCTTACAGATCCACACCAGGGACTGGAACCCCAAACTGTCGGATGCTTTTTTAGGAGAACTGGCAGAAAAATGTGTTGGTGAGTGCACCTAGTTGAATTGTCTGCTGTCATTGCGTGCTCTGCTCAGCACCTGTTCCCCTCATCTTCAAATGTGAATGAGTACAGTTCGTCTTTAATCGTGTTACAGATGGCTCTGCATTCATATTTAAAAGTTACAGAAATGTTTCACCTAAAGTTTGAACACGTCTTAGTTGAATTTTCATCATATCAGCTGTTTGATGAACAAAGCTTAGTAGTTACATGGCTGAATGTCCTTCATAGTGCTACAGGGTCTTTTTAGAAATGATCCCTTTCTCAGAAATTTTACTAGCAACAATAAATATAAGAGAAAAAGGTCCATATAGATGACAGGACTGCAGTCTCCCTTACTTTATGGACAGGACGAATGGGCTCAGTTTTATTCCTATGATCTAGAAAGAAGTTGACTGGGAGGAGTTGTCAAAGAAAATACTTAACTTTTCAATTTAGTTTAAATTCATCACAGTAGAAAACCTCACCCGCAGACTAAATAAGCATTGCTGTCCTAAAAGGATGAGAGCATTGATAACCACAGGAGATGGAACTCGCAGCTTTCTTTCTAATTAGGCCTGAAATAAGAGATCAGTAGTAAGTAGCCGAATAGACACCAAGGAAATATCCCTTCCTCTTTCCTGGCAAGAGAGCATGCACCAAACCTGGTTCATGTTTTGTTTTCAGACTTTGCAAAATATAAAAAACAAATAAACAAGAAAAAAACTATTTTGAGCATTAAGAAGAAATCCCTCAAATAAACCCACTAATGACATCTACTTGGGAGAACTTTAAAGTTACCAAAACCAAAAAGAACGACTAGTTAAAAAAAAGAATCATTGTGATCCACTTTCAAATAAATAATTTAAAACTTAAATAAATAGAACATTAGTCCATTCAGTTAGCTACATCCGAATTATCCTCTTCATCCACAGGGACTTCCATCTCCGAAGCAGCATCCCTCAGCTTTTGAACCACAAAGACCTCGACATCTTCTGGTGAGGAGAAAACGTAAATCTCTCCAGCACTACTCCAGTTTATAAGCTTTGCCTGGTATAAGAGAGCATGCGCCAAACCCATTTCATGTAAATTTGGCTTGATCTTTGCAAAGCCTTGTGCTGCTTTATGGGAGAGGGTGGTACTTGGTTAAAAATCAAAACAAAACCAGTCTTTCCCTTTTTGAGAGATTTATCCCCATTTATTTATCATATTTTGGTATTAAGAGTTCAGATCAGACTGGGAAACCTTTGTAGATTTTTCTGTGAACCTGTCACAGAATAATCCTTAACTGAAGGATGCAGAAGTCTTCAGGAAGTTAGATATTCCCTAAGAGATAGCTATTTAAAAACACTTGCTATTTATTACCTACCCTTCCTTCCATCTGAGATGTTACACACTGCAGTTTAATCACTGGTCCTAAATATTAGTCCTAGTTTCCCAAGGTCAATCAGTATCCTCCCTTTTCCAAGTGATTTATTTTAGCTTGTATTTATTTTGTCTTTAAAAAGTATTTATGTAATTTCTTACTGGACTGAAAACTTCTCTTGCCTTTCCCTTTCCCATGGGGTGGCAGTATAGTATGTAAATGTGTTTATGCCATTAGCTTCCTGGAGCGTGACATAAAAATCCCTTGTAGTTAAATGGTTGTGTGTTCAGTTATGGCTTTTATTTTATTTAAGAAACCAGTTCATATTAAAAATAGTCAAATGCAGGTCTTCAAGTAAGTAGAACAATAATGAGTTTTAAATATTACTTCATGTGTTTCAACATGTATGGTTTCAGTTCAGTGAAATTTATGACTAACAAAAGGTTTTGCAGTCTTGATAAATATCTGCAAGGATAGTTGGCATTTTATAGGCTATGGATTTGGTAACTTTTACTTGAAATAACTTGGAGGTTTTTGCATGTATATCAAGGAATGTTCTTTAAGTAGTAAAGAAACTTAAAAAATGCTGTCAAGAATGTTCGCACAAGTAATAGAAATTTACAATTAGTAAAAAGATTAACTATTTTTTCTATTTATTTTCAATGAGAGGCTTAAAACAAATCATGTATCTGTATTGTTAGCCTTCATTTTGTTTGAACCACACAGTTTGATCTCAGCATTTGGAAGGCAGAGGCAGGCACATCTTTGTGAGTTCAAGGACAGTCTGGTCTACAGAGTGAGTTACAGGACAGCCAGGGCTGTTGCACAGAGAAATCATGTCTTGAAATTGTACCCTACCCCCTCCAAAAAAAAAAAAAAGGTTTTTTTGACCCTTGTTTCACCATCCAGGAAAATTGTAACTTAATAGTAATACAAAGAATTGTTTTTCTTTGCTCTGCCTGTTGGTGTTCAGTAGAGCATTGCTTAGCAATGGTGAAGTCTGGGTTATGAGAAGAGTTACTTGTTTTTTTACATTTCAACTTTGAACTTTTTTTTTTCCAGACAGGGTCTCTCTGTGTAGCTTTGGAGCCTATCCTGGCACTAGCTCTGTAGACGAGGCTGGCCTCTGCCTCCCGAGTGCTAGGGTTAAAGGCATGTGCCACCACCGCCAGCCACTTTGAGCTCTTAAATGGCTGTAGTATACTTCCATTGTCTTCTTTTTCTAAACCAGAATACTCTTGAGAAAACAAATGTGTGCTTTGAATTACAAAAGGACAAACCCCATCTAAGAGGCCTCTGTTTATCCAAAATATAGCAATTTTAGCCATGATTCTTCTGATGCATTTAATGCAGTATTTGAATTTAGTGAAGCATATATAAGTGAGTGGTTCTCAACCTTTTTGTGTGTCAGATTACTTTTCTAAACATTTTTCAAAATACAAACTTAAAATTTTAAGCTCTCAGAGATTGTAATTCACTGTTGTGGGGCCTGGGAGTTTGTATTTATGTTTCAGTTTTATTGTTCATTCTGATTACTTTTTAAGTTGAGAACCACAGATGCACACACTTTCTCATAAGCAAAACTAAATATTTTCCATCTGTTCTGGTTTATTAATTATGATAATCCACTGATAATTTACTTTAGAAAATGGGGCCTGTTACTGCTAATAAACTCAATTATGTGGACTAGATTAGGAAAGAATGAATAGTATATTGCTATTGTATATAATTAGCATGTTATTATGGGATTCTTGGAGAATTTATGACTAAATAATCTTGTAGTTGCTGTTTTGAATCGCTGGCCTCTGAGATCCCTGTTGACTTGAGTTTCTGTTGTAGAGGACACTGCATGCTCATTATTTTGCAGATGTTTATAAAAAACAGAAATGAGATTGTTCTTATTTGATGATGGTAGTTTATTTTTACAATATTGATGTATTTGTGTTTATTTTCCTTTCTAACTTTATGCAAGTGTTCTGTTTTCATTTTGTTGAAATACTGTAACAACTGTATGTCAAAAAGAATATACTTTAAAAAAGATTTATTAATAAAGTATAATATTGTTATAATATTTATGCTTTACCTGTTTAATCTTGGAAGCAAATTCTCACAGATTAAATTTTCCACTCTAACTTGTGAGCCTCCTTTTTTTGTAATTGTCAATATCATTTTGGTATTTATAAGCTTCATAAGGTCAATGTGAAATGTCAAGAGAAAGATAAACTTGATAGCATTTAGGTGCAGTGTTCTACAACTTGTTCAAATGGCTCCCCCTGCTGGCCTTACAAGTAAATGTGACCTAGTGAAATTTAATTGCTAGTAGGAAAAGCCTATCAGCTGATAGGAAGGGCTCCCCACTATTTTCCTTTCTCTTCTTTTTTTCCTCTTTGTTGACGGGAGCTTTTATTAATAGATCATGCTTTTTTAAAGTATATATTTGTTAGTGTTAAATGGTTATATAATGAAAGTTCCTCCCCCCTCAATTCCTTTACTGCCTTTGGAGTTTTGGGTGAATTACAGTGTTTTGGGTAGTTCATGTTAACTACTGTTGCACTATACTCAGATTTGATAGTAAATTACGAATTTTTTAAGATTCTGCTAACACACATCTTTGTACCACTCTTTCATGTGCTTAGGAGTTAGTAATATTAGAAAAAATAAGCCGGGAGTGGTGACACATGCGTGTAATCACAGGTACTTGCAAGTCCAGGGCAGGAGGACCACAAGTTTAAGGTCAACCTGGGAAAGTTAGTGAGTTTTTGTCTCAGTAAAATCAAAGAAGACTAAAGATATGTGTCAGCAGTAGAGTGTTAGCTTAAAGTGCTGGTTAAGAATAGTGATGAAAGATAGAAATGAAACTGTAGTTGTTTGGGAACTTGCCCTGAAGAAGAAAGCTGTGCCTGATAGTCAGTGCTTTCTGACACACAGTCAGGATTTTCTTGTTAATATCATTTAAATTAATATCATTAGTTTATGTTTTTGTTAATTTAAAATACTTAAAAACACTTTCAGCCTTAAGTACTTACTAGCAAGTGAACATTTTTGTCAGGTGATTTTAAAGTGTTAATTTTAATTTTGCTTATTTGTGTTATTATTTTAGATAGAGATATGTGTATTAACAAGCCACAATGGTACTTAGAATAATTAATGTAACTTTGTTACTTTTCTTATTTTGTGCATTAGGCTACTGTGGAGCTGACATCAAGGCCCTGTGTACTGAAGCTGCCCTGATTGCCCTCCGGAGGCGTTACCCTCAGATCTATGCTAGCAGTCATAAATTGCAGCTGGATGTTTCCTCCATAGTGCTTAATGCCCAAGACTTTTACCATGCGATGCAGAACATTGTGCCTGCTTCCCAACGTGCTGTGATGTCTTCAGGACAGGCGCTGTCTCCCATTATAAGACCGTTGCTAGAAAGAAGCTTCAACAACATATTAGCAGTTCTGCAAAAAGTATTTCCTCATGCAGAAATTAGCCAGAGCGACAAGAAAGAAGGTACTATAAACTACCTTTTTTATGTTGTGAAAATAATAAAAAAGAAGTTACTTCATAAGATTAGTTATTTCAGAACTTGGATATTGCACATATTTGGTGGTTGCCTGGTGAATGTTTCTTTACTCTTATGTGTGACCATATTAATATAGGAGTGTTAATATAATTAGAAAGTTGGCTATAATAATAATTGCTTACATTTATTATAAAGTGCTTGTACAAATTATCATTCATTAATCCATACCACAATCCTGTGAGTTAGTTATCCCATCCATATACAGATGAGGAGATTAGGCACTTTGAAAAGTAGTTTGGGTTATGTTTGGTCCCTTAGTAAGATTTGAGCCAACTCCAACTCAGGGAGCCTGCCTGCATGGCTCATGCTTTGGGCCTGCATTGTTATAACGCTTCTTAGATTCAGTTCATTAAGGGTTTTGATGTTATTGACACAGCATTCATTAGAGTGTTGTGCTGTTTAAAGTGTAAGCTGCTGATAAGGGAGTAAATTTGTTTGATTATGATTTTAAATTTAGTTAAGCTTCAAGACTTTGGACCTGAGATAAAATCAGAGTGCCATTTTTTTAAAAAAAAACATCCATTTTCCTGGAAAGAAAAAAGAAATTTATGCTGTCGATATGTTGTTGAGAAGCATGCTTGTCTAGAGTGCATGAAGTCCTGATTCAGCTCTCAGTCTTAGCACTGGGCAGGTGGAGGAAGCAAGATCAGAAGTTTGAGGTCATTTGGAGGGCAAGGCCAGAACATGAAACCTTGTCTAAAAGGAAAAGAGAAAGTGAGAAATTTAGATTAATGTTGAAATCAAGTAAGACCTGTTAAGTTTGAAGAGGAAGTAGTGAGAGTTTTATTTGTTGTTTGTTTGTTTGTTTAAGACAGGGTCTCACTATGTAGCCCTAACTGGCTTGGGACTTACTTTGTAAATCAGGCTGGCCTCAAACTCACAGAGATCTGCCTACCTCTCTGTCTCCCAACTCCTGAGATTAAAGGTGTGTGCCTGGTATGAAATAATATATTTTGATTGTTTTAATTTCCTCTTTATTTGGGGTATAGTTTATGCCAAATAGAAAATTGTTCCCAGAATTATAATATCAAATATCAACATTATTTAATGAATATCAAGTGAATGTACTTAGTATGTCATGAATATTTTCAATTTGTTGTTATATTTTTCAGAGACTGCCAACTTTTTAAAAGATTTATTTATTTATTTTGTGTGTATGAGTGCTCTATCTGCATTTCTGACTTGATGCCAAAGAGGGCATCAGATCTCACTATAATGGTTGTGAGCCACCATGTGGTTGCTGGAAATTGAACTCAGGACCCCTGGAAGAGGTCTTAACCTGTGAGTGCTCTTAGTGCTTTTAACCTGAGCCAGCTCTCCAGCCCAAGACTGCAGCATTTTTTTAAGGGAAAACATTGTATAAAATACTACATAGAACACTTTGTTCCTTAAATTTTTTGTTAGGTAGGATGTGAACGGCTGTCCTGGAGCATACCTGTGACTCAGGCTCTCTACTGTAGTTTGTGTGTGTGTTTATCTGATGTGTCTTTACCTAAAACTTTTCACATGTAAAAGAAATTTTTCATTTATTCCTAGAGATTTTGCTAGTCTATTTTTCTCAGTTTGAGAATTTCCATTTTATGGCATTTTACCTTTTTCATATACTTTTATTTTCATACATATAAAATATGCTTTACTTCTAACTATTAAAAGCAAATGGTATACATTAGTGGAAGACAACAACTAAATTTTATTAAAATAAATACTTGTCTTCTACTTTATATGTATTTTCTGGTTTGTTTTATTCTTTAATATTTTTCCTTACACCTGAATCTTTTCCTTGTTTGTAATATTATCACTCAGAAGATTTTAAATTATTTCCTACATTAATTTGAAACTGTTAGTTTTCCTAAATGTTTAACTTTTAAACCATTTTTCTTTTTCCATTTTCATGTGTGTGTTAGCATGTGTATGTTCTGTATGTGGGTGCACATGCATGTTGGTGTGTGTTCTTGTGGAGGCATGCAGTTGCTGTCAGGAATCATGCTTAATTTACTTCTACTTAGTTCATTGATGCAGAATCCCAGTCAAATTAGCGGTCTAGTTTTGCTATCCAGCTGGCTCTCTGGATGTTGTTTCTGCTTTCCAAGACTGGGATTATAGGAGTGATTCCTTCCATGCCCACATGCTATGGATTATAGGAGTGATTCCTTCCATGCCCACATGCTATGGATTATAGGAGTGATTCCTTCCATGCCCACATGCTATGGATTATAGGAGTGATTCCTTCCATGCCCACACGCTATGGATGTGGGTTCTGGAGGTTGAACCCATGGCAGGCACTTTAACCACTGAGCCATCTCCCCAGTCCTGTATCTTATTTTTATAAGGCATTATTTTGTTTTGAAAGCATTTGAATTATTTCCCCCTCCGTCCTCTCCCTCTCCTCCCTCCCTCCATGCCTCCCTTCCTCTTCCTTGACATAGGGTCTTGCTATGTTACCCAGACAGGCTTTGAGCTCCTGGGCTCATGCATCCTTCCAGTTCCAGTGTTCTGAGTAGCTGAGAACACAAATGTGCTTCTGTATGACCACAGCTGATTTCTGCCAATTTCAATTCTTTATCTTCTATGCATAGAGCACTGCATTCATTGACTGAATTGGCACTTTTGATAGACACATGTGTGTTGTATTCTCAGTGGAAATTTTAGGTATAGTTAGCTCGTTGAGTGGTTACCTTCAGGCCCTTGGAGGGATTAATGCTCCTTGAATGGGTGCACTTTTAACTCTGAGTGGACACTGACTTTCTAACTCTTTATGGTTGGTTGTATGTGGATATGTGCACTTGAAGGCAGGTTCCTGCAGAGGCCAGAGGTGTTGGATTTCCATGGAGCTCATGTAAATGGAGTTCTTAATTGGTCTAAGTAATAAAAACCCAGAGTCAGATATAGAGGAAAATGCTGAGAGATCAGAGAGAAAGAACAAGCCACCACCACACCTTAAAGCCTTAGCTTCTCAGCAGACAAGAGAGCAAATTCCTGTTTCTCCCTGCTTATATTGTGTCCTTGCTCAGCTACCTCATTTCCTGTCTGTCTGTACAGACCTCCAGACCTCTATGATTAGCTAGTGGCAAGCTCCATTCTCTGACCCCCAGACAGGCTTTATTTGTACAGGCAAGATATCACCACAAGGTCAAGTTACAGCCAGTTGTGAGCTGCTTGTTGTAGGTGCTGGGGACCAAGCTTGGGACTGCTGCAGGATTAGTATGCTTTTTTTCTAAAGATTTATTTTTATAGGGGCTGTGTCACAGGCTTTCTTGAACTGCTAGACCACAAATCATGGCACACAGACTTACTATTAGTTATTAAAGCTTAGCCTATAGCTTAGGCTTGTCCCTACAGCTCTTATAACATAAATTAACCCATTTATATTTATTTACATGTTGCTATATGACTCATGGTTTTTACCTCTGCTTCTGGATGTCTTGTTCCCTCTGTGTCTGGCTGGCAGCTCCACCATTCTGTATCCTCTATCCAGAAGTCCCGGCTATTCCTCCTGCCTAGCTGTTGACCATTTAGCTTTTTGTAAAATTAGTCACAGTGACATGCCTTTATACAGTGCAATCATATATCTTACAACAGTGCTGGAGATATGGCTCAGCAGTTAAGAATACTAGCTGGTCTTCCAGAGGTCCGGAGTCCAATTGCCAGCAACTACATGGTGGCTCACAACCATCTGTAATGGAGATCTGGGTACCTCTTTTGGCATTCAGGCATGCATGCAGGAGGAATACTGTACATATAATAAATCTTGAAAAAAAGGTGTATTTTTATGTGTCTGTGTGAGTTTATGGTATGTGGAGGCCGGAAGAAAGCATTGGATTCTCTGGTGCTAGAATACAAGTGGTTATTGGTTACTTGACAAATGGGTGCTAGGAACTGAACCCTGGTCCTCCAGAAGAACAGCAAATATTCTTAACTGCTGAGGCATCTCTCCAGCTTTCCCAATTTTTCTTTTTTCTTTCTGTATTATTTATTTTTTAGGAAGGGTTTCAGTAAGTAGCCTTTGCTGGCCTGGAACTTGCTAAATAGACTAACCTGGCTTCAAACTCCCAGATATTCATCTGCGTCTGCATACCTAGTGCTGGGATAAAAGTATTCTCTCCACCCAGATGTCATATTAATTAGGCAGGTTTTTGCTTGAAACATGATGCCATTTTAAAAAGTACTGGTCAGGCGGGCTGTGGTGGCGCACACCTTTAATCCCAGCACTCGGGAGGCAGAGGCAGGCAGATCTCTGTGAGTTCAAGGCCGGGCTAGACCGACAGCCTCCAAAACAATACAGAGAAACCCTATCTCGTGAAAAAAAAAGTGCAGCTCAGTTTACTTACTGTTGCTTTTGTAAGAAGTAGCCTTTGCTCCTTGCCTTATTAACTGAACAGGATATGATGGTTTTGTTGAGATTGAACTCACAGGAGGGGTTTTATGAGGGCACCATTTCTTTCCCAGACCATTAAGTCAGCAAAGTTTCCCAAATTACAGTTTTTAGTAAATATGAATAATCTATCGAGGTGATAGAAAAGTGTTACTTACATTTATAAATTTTTAAAATGCTACCATTTCATCAATTTGCCTGATTAATCGGTATTTTTGCTAGATAATATATTAACTGATACCACTTGACTTTTAACCCCATTTTGCTTAGCATTTTTATTATACAAGTTTATAAGACTCATAATTCTTATGCTTTTCTTTTGACAGATATAGAAACTCTAATTTTAGATGATAGTGAAGATGAGAATACATTATCAATTTTTGAGACAAGTTGTCACTCAGGATCACCAAAGAAACCATCACCAGTTGCTGCTATAACTAAACCTTATCTTCACTTTACAATGTGAGTAATTTATATTAAATTCTTTCAGTTTAAAATGGATTTTATACTTTACATTTAGAACACAGTGCAGTTTATTGGTGGTTATATTCTTGAGGCATTTTTCTTTGTTTGTACACATTTCTAGAATGTTTTTACTGTGTCTTCTTAACAGAGCATTAGTTCATACTTTCTAAATTTGAGGTTTATTGCTTTTCTACCTCCTTTTGTCTTTTTACTGTTGGTGTATAGCAGCTTTTGTTGTACACTACAATGAGTAAACATTTTTCATGCAATTGTAATTTTAAATTAAGACCACGTAATTTTCGAATACTAAAGTATCACTACTTCCATTTACATAATTAATGCCATAGTTAAAGGACACTAAAGTTCCATTTAGGCAAGTTTAATTCCCTGTGTTCAGGGGGCTGCATTATGTTCCTCCCTCCCTCCCTTCCTCCCTCCCTCCCTCCCTCCCTCCCTTTTTTCCTTCTAAGAGACAGTCTCTCTTTGTACCTCAGACTGACCTATAACTCACTTTGTAGTTAGTTCTGGCTTGCCTCAAACTTGTGGTAATCCTCCTGTTTCAACCTTCCAAGTGCTGGGATCATATATGTGTGTTGCCATGTTTGGCTGGATTATGTGTTCTTTTTTTATTTTATTTTATTTTTTCAGGGGAGAACGTGAACACTTTAAAGTATTTTGAACAAGTTTGAGCCTTTCTCCTTTGTAGATTGTGATGAGAATTGATTTGATTGTATTTATATGCACTGTTGAACCTTTCTTGTGTATCATATTTTAAAATGAGCTTAAATACTTACATCTACATTTTTTTCCCAAGACAGGGTTTCTCTGTATTGTTTTGGAGGTTGTCCTGGAACTCACTCTGTAGACCAGCCTGGCCTCGAACTCACAGAGATCCGCCTGCCTCTGCCTCCCGAGTGCTGGGATAAAAGGTGTGCACCACCAATCCCAGACTACATCTACTTTTTTCTGTTTATTTGATTCTTCACAGTGATTGCTTCTCATTAGAAAGTTTCTTTCTTTCTTTTTTTTTTTTTCTTGTTTTCATGTCCTTTTCTGCTTGCAGGGAAGTTTCTTAGACTTTTCTTTTCTGGCATTTTGTGATTCTGTTTTGTTGATAATTACAGGCAAATTGAATACTTTTTTCTGCCCTTTACCTGCCTATCCTGTCTGTGTGTATATGTCTTGCTTAGGTTTTTAAAACAATTTTAGTTGTTTGAATTATGTATTAGCAAGTGATAAATTATCAGATGTCTTTTATTTCAGCATTGCAAGATAGAACATGCCAATAAAGGAACACAGAAATAGATTTTGTTGTTAGAAAATTTGTTTCTACAGCTGTGTTTAATTTTTTTGGGGGGGGGTCAGGAACATTCTGCTGCTGGTTTAATGTGTGCCACTGGTCTGACTCATTGGTGTAGTTCCACTTTTCTAAAATAATGCGTTTCATTTCCGCTTCCTTTACACAAGCTATCCTAGTTTCTCAATTAAATTGTTGTTTTTTAGAGCAAGCCTTTCCCCCCATTCTTCTAAGGCAGGAGGCCTTAAACTCACCATGTAGCCGAAGTTAATCTTTATCTTTTGATCTTCCCATCTCTAGCCCAAGTGCTTCAGTGCTGTTCAGTAGTTTATCTCTTTGGTTACTCATACTGGCATACTATGAACAAATGTCTTCTGTTTGTTCATAGTGTGCCAGAACTTTTCCTTGATGCTAAAAGCATGAGAAGGGACTAGATACAACTTACTTTTTAGTCTGAAGAAATTTTTGAAACTGGCATTGGCAAAAGTTGTTACATGTTCCATGAAGGTTAAATTTTGCTGGGAAGTTCCAGAAAGCTTTACAGGATGTGTAGTCACAATTGATGTTCACATGAGAATGAAGGGCTGGTGACATCTGAAAACTTGCTACGAACTAGACATGTGCTATATACATAAGCCATGTATTTGTGGTGTCATTTTGTAAAGTAGGAGGCTTAAGCACATGTAAACTTGAAAGTTCAGAAGTCCTTTTCTCGTGGATTGTAGGCTCAGACTCTGCTGTTAGTTTCCTGTCACCCTCATTGATTCTTTTATTTATTTGTTATTTTGTTTATTTTTAAGATTTTGCTGTATAGCCTTGAATGGTCTTGAATTCACTAATGTAGCCCCAGATTGACCACAAACTTGCAGTTGTCTTCTTGTCCCAAGTGCTGGCTTAAAATAGATTTTTTTTAGCTTAATTGGTTAGTAGTTATATTTTAGTTGGGTGACTTTGCCATATGATATTTTTCAAGAAGCATGCAGATGAAAATAAAGACCTTTAGCAAGGAATATACATAGAATTGTTTGTTTGGCTTTGGTTTTAGTTTTGGTGTTGGTTTGACTAGCATGTGTTAGATGTGGGTCAATGCACAAAGCAACGGTAAGAAGAAAGCTTGGTGCATGTGGCTCTGCAGCCAAGCTGGATGGGACTTTGTTAGCAGTTTCTGGGAATTGTCTCCTAAAATATTCCTGAAATCTGTTTTTAAGTTTAAGAAAAAGTGGATGTCAGTAGGTTAGCACCCTGGAAGAGAGGGATGTATAGATGAAAATAAGTTTCTTTCTTCCTTTATATTGTCATTGCGGATTAGAAACATAATTTTCTGAGGTTTTACAAATGAAAATAGCTATGTTTTTTCTGATTAGAAAGATGATATATTCTGTAGAAAATTCAAGTAAAAACTAAATCTTTAGCAGCTGAAGGTAATACATGTTGACTATATTTTCATGTTCTCTTTATGAATATGCTTAGACTCATGAATTGCTTCTCACAAGTTAATGTAATTTGGTGTGTGTGTGTGTGTGTGTGTGTGTGTGTGTGTGTGTGTGTGTGTGTGTGACATATGTTTGGATATCTGCAGAAGCCAGAAAAACATCAGATCTCCTGGAGCTGTAGTTCCATGCATTTGTGAGACTCCTGACTTGGGTGCTGGTAGCTGAACTCAGGTCCTCTGGTAAAGCAGCAAGTGTTTGTTCTGAACCATCTCCCCAGCTCTGTAACTTACTCATGAAATTCATTATTCTGGGGATGTAATTCCATGTGAGGATTATTTAATGTTGATTACTCAGTTGGTAAAACTCTTGCCATGCAAGCATGGGGATCTGAGTTTTGCTCAAGCACACGGTGAAAATGTTGGGTGTCGCAGCATGCACTTGTGATCTCAGCCATGGGGAAATAGAGGTAGAAAAATCCATGGGGCTATCTACATGTTTACCCAAGCTTAACAATGAGCCTCAGTACTCATTGTGAGTTTCTCTCATAAAGCAAGATGGATGGACACACATATGTTCATGCACAAATACATACATTCTCATTCACACGTGGTACACATACAAAAGCTACATAACATGTCATTTTTTTTAAAGATGGGCCTCATGCATGGTGCATGGTACACGCCTTTAATCTCAGCACTTGGGAGACAGAGGCAGAAGGATCTTTGAGTTCAATGCCAACATGTTCTGCATAGTGAACTCTAGGACAGCCAGGACTACATAGAGAAACACTGTTTCAAACAAAAACAAATGTTACATAATATGTAAATGTTTAGATGTTCTACAATTTATAGACTTTATAAAACAACTTTTCAGTTAACAAACAGTACTAACCTAAATGTCTTTCTAGGTTTGTACACCATTATCCAATTTAGAACTGAAGTCAGTTTTAAAAGCAGATCTGTGTCAAAGGGTATTTTTGCTTAAAACTTTCATGTAAGTTGCTAAATTGTTTTCTAGAACGAAAACAAGATTGTGGCAGTTTACTTTTCCACTACCAATGTTTAGAGCGCTATCTTTTTATACTTTTGTTAATCTTGAGCAATTCTTATCTCTCTGTTGGTGTTGGGAGACGGACCCAGAGCTGATGCTTCTGCAGTCACATCTCCAGTTCTGTGTCTCTTTAAATCACTATTGGTCAGGTAGAAGGAAAAAATTAAGTCACTAACATATTCTTTCATGTATTCATTCACTCATTTAATATTGTGAAAGAAAGGTAGGCAGATACATAGACAGATGCACAGAGGATTTGAACTTAAATCCTTAACACCCATATTTTTAAAAAAAAGCCAGCTATGGCTGTGTATACCTGTAAGCCTGGCATTAAAAGGAAAGAGGCAGATTCTGAGAGCTTGCTGGCTCTCCAACCTGCCTGAAATGGTGAGTTTTCAGTTTTTTTGGTAGAAAGTGATAAAAGAAGGTAAGGTAGGAACCTGACATCTTCCTCTGGCCCTATATGCTTACACATCCATACATCACTTACATCCAAAAATGAATATGTGTGCGCATGGGTGCGCGCATGCGTGCGCGCGCACACACACACACACACACACACACACACACACACACACACACACACACACACACACACAGTCTTTGCTTTTAGGATATACTTTTTTTTTAATGCAGTGATGTGCCATGTGTGTGCCTTGTGCCTGTGGAAGTTGGAATAGGCCTTCAGATTGCCTGGATCTGGGGTTAAAGGTGGTTGTGAGCTAGCATGAATTGAACCCTTCTTCTGTATGAGCGATATATGCTCTTAGTAACTGAGCCATCTTGCCAGCCCCATGAACTTATATTAGATTCTTCAATTCATGTGATTTGTTTCCTGGGATGCTTGTTTTGTTTCAACCTCTGTGGTTTTGTGTGTATGTTCTTGTGGGTACAAGTGCATGGAGGTCAGAGGACATCTTCAGTGTCACTCTTCAAAGCCATTTACTCTGTTTTTTTGAAACAAGGTTTCTTATTGGTTTGTAGCTTGCACACTGGCCATTGAGCCACAGGGATTTTTCTGATCCCACCACCTGTTGCTGGGATCCCAAACCCACATCACTACACATTTTTTAAAAAATGGGTTCTAAGACTTGAACTCGGTTCCTCATCCTTGCATGCCAAGCAATATACTGATTAATCTCCCAGTCCTGTTGTTTCTTTCTTTTGTATATCCTACTTTTTGTTAGTTGTTATTTTATAACATTCTTTCATTTTTGTATGTCATATCTTAATGTAGTATGAATTTGAGTTTTGCAGCCATGTCGACCTGAGTGGTAGTTTTTTTTTTTTTTTTTTTTTTTTTTTGTATTTGTGTCTCTAGTGTTCAAATCCTGGGCCTTTTGCATGTTAGTTAAACACTGCATTGAGCTATATCTTGAGCCCCTGAATGTCATTTTGAACTCTGCTCCTGTTCTGTACAATCTTACACATAATATCTCATTTCTTCATTTACTTAATAAAATGAAACTGTATATTTCCTAGAATTTTTATGACAATTGAATCCATATGTGATGACTCACATCTATAATCCCAGGACTTGAAAACTGAATGAAGCAACAGGATTGTGAGTTGGAAACTCTCATGGGCTGCAATAGTGAAACTCTCAGAACTGTACAACTGAGAAAGAGAATCTATATGAAATGGTTGTTATCAAAATGTTTGAGTGATCTAAATTAGCATATTTTCCTCAAATTTCTTGATGTTCTCATTAGTTTAGGTAATGTTTAGAATAAGTTTTTATTTCCCCCTCCCAAAGTTCTGTAGGTTTTTTTAAAATTAGAATTTATCAAATATATAAATATTTAGTTAAAAATTGGCATTTCTGTACATTTATAAAGTTCTTTTATGACTGAATATCATGCTTCTTACTAAGATTATTTGCTAGTGTGTTACTTTTTATGTTGTTTTTGCAGTTGTGAGTAGAATCTCTTTGTATTGTTTGCTTTTTACATTGGTTATAGGGCACAGTTAGTAAATCTACTGATTTTTCTTTTTCTGCCACTAGTAATACTCTTGTATTTAGTGTTTTTATCACTTTCATTAGAGGTAGCAGTTTTTTTCCTTTTTCTTTGTGTTTTATTTTTATTTATGTTTTGTTCATTGCCTTGGAGTTTACAGTCTTAGAGTGTAGATCTGCTTTATTATTTATTTTTGAGACAGGTTTCTCTTTGTGTAACAGTCCTGGCTGTCGTGGAACTTTTTGTAGGCCAGGCTGGCCTCAAACTTAATCCAGGGACTAAATGCCACCATGTGTAGCTTAAAATCTCTTATATTCATGATATAATTACCTGCTAATTGCTCTACCTTTTGTCATTATAATAATACTAGTTAAGTTTCAAATTGACTTTGTGAGGAGGCCTAGGATATAGTATTTAGAAAATTCACATAACTTAAAATTTAGCATTTTCACCATATTGATTTGGTGGTTGGCGGGGTAGTAGCCTAGGCAACCAGAACTCACTATTTAGATCAGCCTGGCTTCAGACTTGAGACTCTTTAAGTGCCAGGATTATGAGAGTGAGTCACCATGCCCAGCTTTAATCAATTCTTTTCTAAGTCTTATACCTGTAATAATCTTCAGATCAATATTTTTTTCTTTCTAGATTTCTTCTTGTCCCTGATGTATTTCTTTGTTGGTATCCTTCCCATTCAATTGATACCTAAATGATATAGTTTTGCACATTCCAAGTTAATATATATAATGTGATATGATGAAAAAATTGCTGAATTTTTCTTTCTTTCCTTCTTTTATACTTATACATCTTGGTTATCACTATATTCAGAGATAGTCAATATTTTAGAGTTGTGAATAATGAAAAAATGACTACACTAAAATGAGTAGTTTTTTTAATCTGAAGTTTGACACTTTTATAGAATTATTTTCCCTGCTGATCTGTGTATATTAGTATTCAGAATATATAGTTTTTAAATCACTTTTGTGTCTACAGGTCACCATACCATCAGCCAACCTCTTACAGGCCTCGCTTGTTGCTGTCTGGAGAACGAGGCTCAGGTCAGACTTCTCACCTCGCTCCAGCCCTTCTGCACACACTAGAAAGGTTCTCTGTGCATCGGCTCGACCTTCCAGCACTTTACTCGGTCAGTGCCAAAACACCCGAGGAATCCTGTGCACAGGTATGTTTGTCTTGCTGGTGTGCACATGGTGTGTAAGCTAAGGGTTTCTCAGAGGATGGTGAATATTAACTTTTACTAGCTACTTATTAATATTCCTGTGTTAGTACAGTGTATAATACTTTAAAAATGAGTTCATTGTTTTTTTTTTCCCTATGATACCTCACTACTGAAAATGTAATGTCTTGTAGAAAGAAAAGCATTTCTGTCCTTTTTGGATCCCCTTTTCAAAGTTGTGTATTCAGAAGAAATGTTGTAGACTGTCTTCACTTAGCCTCATCATAGGAAGGGGAATAATGTTTAGTTAAAATGTCAGGCTTTGATATATGATAGAATAGTGATAGTAATTAAATTGGACATTTGTATTTGTAGTGTAGTCTTTTTCTTACTTGATTTTCAACTCTACTGAACTTCTTATGGCGTATGAATCAAGGTTATATATGGGGCTATTTCCATTTACTGAGGTTTTTATGTACAGCCAAAAATGCATTACAAATATTATCATCTGGAATTAGGGATGGGGAAGGGAAATATTTTTTTGGGGGCTAAGGGGGACCATTTTGTACCATTTCTGTATCTTTGCACAGTGTTCACATAGTGAGAGATCATTAGGTTCCCCCTTCTCTTTTTGTCTTTTTCTGCTTTCATGTCCTGTTTATATTTGTGTTTGCATGTGTGTGGCCACAGTTGTGGATACAAGTGCACAGGGTGTGGAGTCCTGAGACTGATGTTGGGATGTGTCCTGGGTTGTGCTTTTCCCCATTACTCAATGAGCTAGGATCTCTTAACCAGACTTAGAGATTGCCAGTGTACATAATCTTGCTAGCCAATTTACTTTGGGGATCCCTGGTCTCTGCCCTCTGAAGCTGGTATTAACTTCAAGCCACCACGCCCACACAACATTTGCATGGGTTCTGGCTTATTTAGCAAGCACTTGACTACAGAGCCAACTCCCTAGCCTTTCCTTCATTTTTGAACAGTGGTTTGCTCAGTTGCTCAGACTGGTTTGGAATACCTGATATCAGCCTCTGCAGTAGCTGGTGTCTGATAGCATGCTCACAGGTGGTGCTTTCATTACTTTGTACTTGGATGTTTTGCCTAGTTTTATATGACTTGTGAAACTGGGAGGTGGCTTTTGTAAATAGTTGATAGCTGAGCTGTAGTTTTTAATTGAAAGTCACACAGGTTGGACATTTACAGATGGGAACACTTAACTTGTTTGTTAAACAGTGCATAGTGGTCTCAATTTGTCTTTTATTTACAGTTCTTTGGTTATGAATAGTACCTCTTACAAAGCTTTGTTTGAAGGTTTCTTTCTAAAACCTGTGGTCCTAACATAAAAACTATATACCAGTATTTTGCTCCCAGTTGACACATCCTAGCTGTGAGTTTTTTCCAATAACATTTGCTTTTATGTTTACTCATACTTTTCCTTCTGGATAGGAGAAAAAAATTTCAGGTTTATATAAGTTAGAGAATTACTCCCTGTCACTTAAAGAAAATCCAAATGATGTACTAGGAAAGTAAAGATTACCAAATGTAACTGCAGAAAAGAGAGACTCTAAACAGTACTGAATATGGAAGAGGAAATTGAAAAAGTGTTATGAAAGCACTTAGCCTAGACAGTGTCTAGGTGATTTACCTTACTGTTTCAAGCATAGGAAAGCTGAGAGACTGTAAAAAACAGTAGCCATAAGCCGTTCGAATAAATACAGAGTGCTGAAACACTCACCAATTGAGCTTGTTAGTTTAAAAAAAAAGATAAGCTATTACTAAGGAACACAAGATTGATTTAGACATTGAGGGAATTAATATTGGGAAGGACATGTTAAGGTTATAAATATTGATTATGATATCACTGCTTTTGGAAAATGTATGGTACCAACTAAAAATTGTTCAGGACAATGAGAGGATTTTATAAGTTAGGCATTTATAATTTTATGGTCTAAAATTGGTAGCTTTAATTTATATTAATCACAGTAAGTTAGAAATAGAATGGATAGAGATGATAATTTAAAGTAGCAACTAAGTTTACCTAAGAATTAACTGAATGAATATGCAAAGCTTAAGAGAAGAAAAATAAAGTTCAGTTGAAAGGGACAGTTGAATATCAAAACAAACAAACAAACAAACAAACAAAAACCCACCTTGTTTTAAATTATTTTATTACACTTCAATTCAGGAGTAGGCCCAAGTTGGTTTAAATGGAAGAGGACTTCAGCTATACAGCTTCATTGTTGTGACGTAGAATAAGTTGCTTAATCCAATTGAACCTGAATTTCCTTACATATGAAATGAAGATATGATACTTATCATGAGGCTGTATTACATAGGCCTGGTAGATTGTGCTCTCAATACATAATTATGGTTATCATTTTTGTTAATGCTGTTAATTCTTTTCAAATGAATTATTCATAAATTTTAAATGTAGTCCCATTTATAATCCCACTGTAATCTAGAAGGAGAAACCTAATAAGAGTTCTGTTTCTTCTAGATAATGCTCATGTGAGTCACAAGGTGAATTCTAGAGAAAAAAGTGCAATAAAGGAGCTTTGCTAGGTTTTTTTTTTTTTTGGTTTTTTTGAGACAGGGTTTCTCTGTATTGTTTTGGAGGCTGTCGGTCCAGCCCGGCCTCGAACTCACAGAGATCCGCCTGCCTCTGCCTCCCGAGTGCTGGGATTAAAGGCGTGCGCCACCACCGCCCGGCTTGCTAGATTTTTATAGGATGACAATAACAAGAAATTTGTTCCTCTATAGGAATAGACAAAGTAATAGGACCAAAAATCTCCATACCCTGACCTCTGTAGAAATAGTATATAATGACGATGGCCACTACAAATAAAGTTCATATCAGTAATATGGAAGAAATAGGTTATTTAGTAAATGGTTTTGGAAAACTGGTTGTCCTTAACAGGGACAATAGAAAAACAAAGTACTTCCATCTCCTACTTGTTTCTATGTGTAATGCAAACAAATTCTAGATTAACCTTGAAACTGCAAAAGCACTAGGAGAAATTACCAGATCCATATACTTATCACCATTTGCCTAAGAAATTAGTTTCTAAACTATGTACAAAAACTGCAACCAGATATGGAAACTTGACTAAAGAAAAATTTAAACTTTACAAAGCAAATATATTCTCTAAATAAAATTAATAGACATAGCTTAGTGAAAAATAGATTTGTTATACAGATATCAAGTACAAATTTCTTAAATATAAATATTATTTAAATCATGAAAAAGAAAGAATAAAAGTCTAATGAAAATTTGTAAAACATAGCAGGTCTAGTGGTACACACCTATATTTTTTAGGGTTCTGAATGTTGAGGCAGGGATATCAGGACTGATTCAAGATGAGCCCAAACTATATTGTGAGTGCCTATCTTACTGTCCTCCCACCTCTACCAAAAACAACAAAGAAAATATACTTTGTATTTATAAGAAGAAAAGAAAACAATTAAAAATGATTTTTACCTTTACATGTAAATGGAAGTCACAAGTTTTGTCAAAAGTTAGTAAAAACAACTTAATTATAGAAACACTGGAGTTGTTGGATACTTGTATTTAGTTAAATGGAAATTTATATATATATATATAATAGTTAATTTCAGAGTATTGTTAGGTATTTATTCTTAATAAAATTTAAAGTACATATATACTTTGAGTCGGAATTGTATATACTTAGGAATGCTTTTCTCCTAAAGATCTGTTAGCTATAAATATTCATTATAAATAAGAGTATGCATCATGGCTTTGTGTATACTGACAGACCAAATAATCCACAAAACAAAATGAAAATCCTTCAATGGAAGGCTGTTTAAAAGTGTGAATGGTTTATGCTGTACTATGAGGCCATCATCAACAATGATGAGGTTACTTTACATAGGTTGATAAGGAAAAGTAAAGGAGGTGTGTACCTGCTTGCACATGCGAATATTCCCTAAGATTTGTTCATAAGAGGTTGCTTTGATTTAGAGGCAGAAATTTTGGTACTTATGATTAAATTTAGCATTTGCTTTCTTTATGACTTATGTTTTAGTTTTGTGGAGATGAGGGTCACTTAGGGCCTTGTGCACATTGGCAGGCACTCTTTTATGGAACTAAATTTTCAGCCAACATTATTTATATAGATTATAATTACAAATATAAAGAAGAAAAGGTTCTACCTACAATAGCAACTATTGTAGTGTTTGTAACCTTTTTCTTTTGTGGTATGTATATTTGACTGTATCAAGCAAATGAAAGATAATGAACTCTGAAGGAGCTAGGTGTAGTATTGTCAAAGGTTGAAGCAGGATAATCTCAGCTCTGACGCACAAGGTCGGGTGCGCCCCCCCTCCCCGCCTGCCGCTTTCCTTGACGCATGTGTGCGCATGCCGTGGTGCCTGTTTAGGCCAGAAGCTAACCTTCAGTGTCATTTCTCAGAAGCCTCCAACCATGTGTATGAGGTAGGGTATATTACTTACTGGAATCTGGAACTGGCCAGTTGTCTGGTTAGAGAACTTCAGGTATTCTCCTGTTTCCGCCTCTCCAGTGCTGGAAGTACAAGTGCAGGCTCCCGCGTGTGTCTCCTGATGTCCTCAAGCTTGTTGGTAAAAACTTTACCCAGTAAACTATCTGTCCCAGGCCTCCTCACATCCTCAATAAATAATGAAATAAGGCTAAAAACACCTGTAATTCCAGCACTCTGGAGGTCTGAGGTTAAGAGGTTTTCCACAAGCTGCAGGTGAAGTATATGACACTTAAAAAAAAGGGTACATTAAAAGAGAGCCATTTTCAAAATGAGAGGACTCTGTTGTACAGTTGTCTGGTGTAGTAAAGCATGAGTAAGGGGCACTCAGGACGCCTTGGAGTGAAGTATAGCTTCATAGTACTGGGAATCTAGGCCTTGTTAAGAAAAATCATATTTGGTCAAATATGAATTCCAACTCTTTGTTCTCTTTCATTTTTGGCTTTCTTTTTTTGGTCATGTTGATGGGAAAGTGGAGGGAGAGAGGTATCA